GGGTTTCATTCTGCTATAATTTTTTTGGTTTTAAAATTAATGGACACTGTTCTACTAGTAGCCTGTAGGTGTCAGAATGTGTATTTGACAGTGGATTTGATTCAAAAATATAAAATTAATAAGTGTTATTGGATAATTTTTCAGATTTAGGATAATTCAATAATCAATGAAAGTTTCTGTTAACAAAAAGACATACATAATTTGAAAATATTTTAAATTTATCAATTCCAGAAAGTAAAATAACAACTTTATTTTTTTCAAAGCATTATGGAAATGAATTAATAAAACTATTTGAATAGCTTTTACTTACATGTCCTGTATTCTACATAATTTTAATGTGATAGATAATACATAAAATATATTCCTTGAAATATAAAAATAGTTTATTTAAAAGAAATTAGTTAATTATATATTGCATACAAAAATTTTGCTTTCTTTCCAAATTATGCCGCCCTGGGCCTAGTGCCGGTCCGTGGTCAGTATTCGTTAGTGTTTATCCGTGAGATTAAAACTATACCAAACTATTACATATTGTTTTACGACTTTGGATGAAATTGATAACTTGAGTGTTACGTAACATTTTGAGAGGGGGGGGGGGGTACAGAAAAACGTTACTGTGCGTTACGAAGGGGGAAGGAGGGGTCAAAAATCTTCGAAAATTGCGTTACGTAATACTTGAATGCTCCCGAAGGAAGACAAATATGTATTTAAATATTAACACTTTTCAATACGAACACTTAAAACATTGTAATAATTATCACTACTAATAAGTATTCTTATAAACTGAACTTCTGCTTGCTTTGAAAGACGATAATATAATTCAATAAGAAATATCAATTTGTTAAAATGAGCAAGTTTCTTCCCGCCAAATTCACATTAGAGTTTAGCACTGGCACCGGATAGAGCGAAAAGAGACTAAAAAGTATATAAAGACAGGTGCTTGACTCAAGATCGATTCCGGATGTTAATATGGAAACAATAATACATACATATATTTATTTAATTGTCAGTATAGTTTGTTAGACTTAAGCTGAGCTTTGCATTTGTGTGAGTGAAAGTAAAAGTAGAGTTAGAAAAAAAACTTTTGGAATCAAATTTTATTATATTTTAAATAGATACATAACATAAGTGCGAGAGCTATTCTAGATTTAAAATAAAATAATCAAAACTTGTAAAAGACCAGATGGAAATATTATGAATATTATGGATTTTTTTAAATTAATTAATAAATATTTGGAAAAAACTATACAAATTCTTCTTCACTTGACATTGCGTTTTCAACATTTAACGTTGCTATCAGTACAAAGGGTGAAGTGAGAAAGGTGCGGGGCTGATTAAAAGCGGAATAAACCAGTTCAAATTGAGAAAAGAACGTGGCATTCAAAAATTTGACATCACACCTACATTATCCTTGTACACTCACACAAATGCAAAGCTCAGCTTAAATCAAACGCACTATACATAATGTTATCAATACTATTAATGTTTGTTCCACCTCTCTCTACTAGATGTCGCTGTCTTCCTATTCTTTTGTTCGGCGAGTGACGTCATTCTTATGTATATATCTTTTTACTATTTTAGAGACTTTGCACACTTCAATTAGCCCAACACTGATACTCTTCAACCTAGCTCTGATGTTTATTAATTATTATATACATATCGATAATCAAAATGTGGTCAAAGTTCATTTACTTGTTATTAAATATAAGTTACTAACATGACATGTCTTACAAATGCCTTAATGTTCCCAAATTAATTTCTTTATAATTATTTAAAATATGTAACTAGGATATAATAAACATTGTATATAAAATGACTAATAGCGAAAAACAATAATATAATATAAAAAGCTATTGTTACTCATCATCATCTTTAAGAACATTTGAAAATCATATTTTCTAACATTTCAATATAAGGTTTAAATAAAACAACGTTCCATCAGAACATATATAATAATGAAATCATTTCTGTTCAGTTTACATTAAAAATGAGACCAAAAATACGAAACAAAACATAAGGACGACTTCTGAAAAAAACTAGTAACAATTATTATTGAGACTAACGTAAATACTGTTATATAGAGAAGTCTGACCGTACAAATAAAATATTAAACAAAATAAACAATAATAAAATTGTATTTAATACAATTCATTACTACGGAACGAACAAGATTGTAAGAGACTTGAACCGGTTGAGGGATAAATAATAATAATATGAAAAAAACATTTAAACTAACATCTTGACACTACACACACACACACATACACACACTGACACACAACAACCTAAACATTACAAAAAAAGTACTTAAAAATATTAAATCACTTAAAGTTATCAAAGGAATGTACTTCAAACATAAATTATTTGACCACAAAAAATATGTAATAATTTATTTAATTTGATAAATAATATTTTATTTAGTAAAATACTCCGCGTATACTCGCGTTAATTTTTCCATCAAATAATCAAAATATTTCAATATATTTATCTCCGCCTGACGTCACTATGTATAACATATTTTTATTGCTCACGAATCTTCTAAAAAATTTATTTAAAAACCAAAATTCGTTGTCTCGAGTGACGACCGACACCACCATACATACTGGACATTTGGAAAAATAGACGTTCTATGAGGGTAAATAATCGCCTAATTAAATATCGGATCCTCGACGACGTTGCTTCATCATCATCAATTCCATTAAAGCATCTCTATATATAAATATAAAACCTTTTTCTAAACACACACAACATATTCTCTCTTATTAAATGCTGAGGCGAGGAATGTTACATCAAGGCCGTGTGCTAGTGTTGTGCAAAACTCTATAAAAGGCTAATATAAAATTATTAACAGCGCCATCTGTTGACAGTTCTCGGTGATTGTGCGTTAAAAATACCTATAGCTGGATATTGTAATTTCTTCTATAAATAATATGTTCATACAAATCTTTTTAATCTATGTTATATGACACCGTGTATGGCACTCCAGCATATGGCGGGGATAGTGCAAATCCGCGTAACTATCATTGGATAATTCCTCATATCTAAATCGGAAGCAGATTATCAGAAGAACGTTTAAACTGAAATATTTTATATATTAACGACTTTTAATATATTTTTTTCTCAATTAGTTATTATTTAGCGTTTAATTTATAACTAATTGTGAAAAAAATTATCTTAAAAGTCGTTAATATAGACAATATTTCAGCTCAAACTTTATTCTGATAATCTGCTTCCGATTTACATACTCGGAATTATCCACAGCTAGTCACGCAATGCACTATCCCCGACTATATATATTTGGTATATAATCAGTTCATAGTATCTCCTTTTTATTTCTTCCGGTCGTCGTACTCCTTCACCAGGTCGGGTATAGCGTTGGGTTCCACCGGCACCAGTTGAAACAGTTCCTTCAGACTCTCCACGTACGATAACTTGCGGAAGAACTTGTAACTGTTGAACAAAAATATTATTACACTACAATACTTAATAATATTATAAATACGAAAGTAACTCTGTCTGTCTGTCTGTCTGTTACGCTTTCACGTATAAACCACTGAAATGATTTTAATGAAATTTAGTACAGACAGAGTTGACCTTGAGAAAGAACATAGGATAGTTTTTATCACAGACTTTGGAAAGTTCTCTTGGAAACGCGATATAACCGAACTCCACGCGGGCGAAGTTGCGAGCGGAAAGCTAGTACTTAATAATTGTATAGAATTTAGTTGGAATTCTTTATGTATGGAAATTAAATCAAAAAAATTGAAATATTAAAGATCACGGTTGCTGTAAAGTAACCGAAACGTCAGGATTATGTAGTTTTTGACAAAAATAAAGTCGCGTAGTATAATCCAAAATATAAGTTTTATTTAATTAAAGTATTTCAAATTTGATATTTAAATGTCTCTCACCTAACGAATGGTTTGGTGATAACGACGAATGACTTCAACCAGAAGGTCGGATGCACCAGGTACAGACGCTTGAGACTCTTCCTTAACCTGGAATTATTATATAAAATGTTATAATTATTGTTCATATATAATCCTCACGTATTCGATCCAACTACAATGACTATCAAATAGTATGTACATGTAACTGTATTCAAAATATAACCTATAAAAAGCAAAGCAACACCAGTACTATATTTAAAAATATTTAGAACAGATTGTGTTTAGAGCTCCATACAAATGATGTATGGTCTCAGATCTGAAAAAACTTGAATTAAGATATATGTTGAATAATGCTGAATATTACATGAATAAAAATGAGGTGTCAGATTGTAGGAGAACAAACAAGAAGATGATGTTGGTCAAGAGTTATGAAGGTGTGTGTGTGTGTGTGTGTGTATATGTTCGTCTCACCGTCTGTCCACCAGCTTGTAACACTCGTGCAGCCAGGCGAAGGTGGGCATCCTCCGTCTACCCGCGCTCCCGTGCAGGTACACCAACACGTACTCATCCGTGACCAGGCGCTCCAGGCTCCACATCACGTACCTACGACATATATATTAAGAGACGACAACGAAAGAAGATAACTTTTGTAAACAAACTATTATGATAGTATTAAATTAGTTTGCACTTATATGTAACAGTAGCAAATAAGCATTGCATAGGGGCCATCCATAAAATACGTCACACTAATTTCATGAGTTTTTGAGCCCTCCCCCGTCCTTGTCACAGGTGGTCACATTTCTGAGACCCCCCCCTCCCTAGTGTGACGTCACATATTTTGCAATTTAACATCGAAAAATTATTAAATTAAAACAGCAGTTCCGAAATTAGTTTTATTTCCATTTAAAATAAGTACTTTTTTAAGAAATCAACATAGTATCAAATATTTGAAATAATAAATAAACTAATGAATATATACAGGCTGACTGGTGAATTACTATCGATACTTGAGGACGTGATATTTGACGATTATTATATATGACAAAATAAAAATTAATATAACATAAATATTAATAAACTTCTAAGTAAAGTTAACCAAAAGTTATGTAATTCATTACGCATCGTGTGAACAGTCTACAGATTAGGTATACACACACACACACGCGCGTTTGGCGGCGTGGTGTTGTATCAGCACGCCGCTAGCACGCGTCCACACTTGGAACACTTGGAACGTGTCCTCACTTTATTTATTTATACGGAAATTTAGTCAAAAATTAAGTACCTTTCCTTTACATAATTCGAATGAGAATCATGTACCGAGTATTCTCCTTAAATATTGATAGTAATTCATGTGATGATGCGCTCAGTTTTAAAGATTTTAATTAATATTCCAAATTACGCGATTAGTAGCTCTAGATTTTGAAATGTGATGTCACGAAACTTAGGACCCCTCCCACCCCTTGTCACACCATGTCACACTTTGTCGACCCCCTCCCACCCCCTTTACGTGTGACGTACTTTATGGATGGCCCCATAGTGCATAAAACAACTAAACCTATATTGTTTAATTCTTACATACATACTTTTAATCATACTATACGAAATACAAATGTTTACAGACATTTAAAATGACACTTGATTCATGATCTGTTAATAAGTGCCATCTATCAATGTAAATACGAAACATTATCGATCGGCGGCTGCTAACTGCTAGCGCCGCTATACAGCCAGACCGGCGATACGCACAAGCACTCTGTGCTTATTTTCCATACAAAAATTCTAAAATACGATCTACAAATCTCGTGTATGTATGAAGGAAATGTTTGTATGAATGTGTAAAACTATGCATATGTTAGTGTTCGAGAGGCATTGCTTCTTTAATTCTACTAGTTTAAAACGTCATATAAAAAGGTCAATTCATAAGGGACTATTTAATTTGTTGGTGTACTGTTCAAATAATTTTTTTTACCATTTTGTTATTATTGTCATTCTAAGCGCAAGTGAATAACTTTTAGTTCTCGAATGAGTGAATTTATTTACGAAATACAGAAAATAATAACTGTGAGCTCTGTACTGTTGATGTGTTTAACAAAATTAATTACGAGTACATTTTCAATTATCGTTTAATTTTTTAATTTGTCGTTGTCATTTGTTATTGTTTTAAGATAAAATTAAAATAATTACAAAGGGAAAGTGTGTGACCAGTTTAGATTTAACTGAAACATGTAATGTTACTCGTTTCACCAAAAGAAATATGATTTTATGTGTGCGTGTGTGTACGTCTTTTTCTCTCTGTGTGTGTGTGTCTGTGTGTGTGTGCGTGTGTACTAACAGGAACAGGTTGTCCATGACGTATCTGTAGTCGGGTCTCCTGGTGTCCGGCAGGTGGCAGGCGCTGAACACGATGAGCGCGGCGCCCCCCGCCTCGTACCCGCCGTGAGACACCACGCGCTTGAACGGCTCTATCACCTGAACACAAACAGCACACTTAGACTTACACACTTAGACTGGTTATTTGATAGAATTAGTTACATACACACACATACAGTAGACTTAGAGGGTTCTACATAGACTGGTCACTGGTTAGAATTACATATACATATATGATGTTACTATTATAACAAGTCTGTGGGGATGTATGTATGTTTAAATGAAAGTAACATCTTTCGGATATACTATGGGACTTCATTTTAGTAAAAAACTACATACTCCCGACGTTTTGGTGACTTATCAGCAACCGTGATTAGGGACAGACGAGATGTATGTATGTCTGTTTACAAATCATACTTACACGTAGTGTAAGTATGTGTCCCGGATTCTCATATAGTTCCCGCGGGATCATATTATCTGTATGACGTCCCGGGACACCGACTGTACACGTCACTGACGGGTGGATAAAACTTAAAACATCTCTCTGAACCTAAGTCCAACGTTCACAAGTCCCAGACAAAAACTGGTCTTACTATTACATTATCAAGACCATGTTATCTATATATTACTAGTGAACCCGGCGAACTCCGTTTCGCCACCAGAAGGCTTTTATATAACATTTCGTTTGGTGATTAAAAGATGAAGAATTTTTTTTTCTTTTATATTTGAAAATGAAAATTTTTATTTCATTTCACAACAGTAATGAATTCATTTCGATTACAAAAATGAAGTGTTATTTAGTTGAACTTCTCTAAGTAAATGAAAGTGAATGCAAAGTAGATACCGAATCGAAGCGTTATACGTGTCCGCAAATTATCCGTTTCATTGAAGTGGTCCTTTGTAAACCACATTTTTTGTTTTTTGGTCTAACGTTAACACAAATAAAGCGGATGGTTTCCAAACTCGTGAACGCGCGAAATATAACGCCCATGTGAAAAACAATGATTTCTAAATTTATCCCGCAAATACTAAACTGGAAAACCGGACTTATTTTTATATAGTAGATCTCTTACAAATATCTAATTGTCATCCATACGTCATTACATATCTGTCATTATACGTCAATTGCATAGCTGTCAATTGTGTTTCGTTATTCCACGTTTTATAGTGACTGACGTTTCATGTCAAGTCCCACGGGAATGCTGTCGAACGGGATAAAAAGTATCCTATTGCATATATCCTATTGCATATTCCTGGCTCTAAACTACCTCCCTGCCAATTGTCAGCTAAATCGTTTCAGCCGTTCTTGAGTTATAAGTGGAGTAACTAACACGACTTTCTTTTATATATATAGATTACTATTTTAGTACTGTTCGTGTGTTTAATATCCCGAGCACATAGAAAGCGGTCAGGAGTTCCGAGTTCTGTATTCAGCATTCATTAGAATACCGCCCTCTGTGTGAGTTTTTGTTATAGACCAATAAAAGCTGAACTCTGAACTCTTGACTGTTCTATGTGTTTGCGGGCTCTATTTAAGTAGTTTTTTAATGACTTCTGTTCCTGTATGTATGTATGTACCTTCATATCACACACGGCTCTCCCTCCCCCATGTGTGACGCTGAGCCAGGAGCGTTCTTCACGGAACTCCTCGGCCGCCGAGTACTCGGGGATGGGGTCACTGCACTCACTCACTGTGGCTGTAGACTTGGACCTGGAAGAATAATTATCATATATTGAGAGGGATGCTTTAGCATGGAGATCATCATCATAAGTCTATCAGAGCCCACTGCTGAGCTGCCTCTTCTCACATGAAGATGACTTGAGCATTAATCATCACGCTTGCTTAAAACGTGTTGGTGATCCCAAACTTATAATATGATATTAGAAGTCCAAGTTTAATCACGATATTTTCCTTCATCTGTCAGTGGTGTTTAAATCTTAGAAAGTACATATGACTTGCTGTTGTGTATCACCTCTTTATTAATTTAGTTACTGGCCGGTAAGCCAGTGAGATTCTAATGAAGAATGTGTCGACAATATGGCATTAATAAAATAATGGAGATATAGACATCAATGTATTTAATTTCTTTATGTATATTTAATACTTGGCAAAATCACATTGGTACTCGCCAAGTTTCGAACCCGCGACCTCATGCACGACAGGCGGACCTTTACCCACTAGGACACCACAACTTATAATCATAGTCAACATCATCATTGAAAGTTTTCTTGATCAGCAATGAGCACTGAGAGGGTGATGATGATCAAAATATTTAGAAAAACTCTTATAAATCGACTGAATGCTAGTGATGTGACCAAGCAATCTGTATGTATGTGTGTACAGTTCAAAGATCGACCTCTTAGTATCATCCTCGCTGGTAGGGTCGTGCGTGTCCACGGCCGGCGGCTCGTCTTCAGACTCCAAGGAGCCGCCGCTCACACTGTCCAGGCTACACTCGTCCTCCTCGGGCGGCTGGGGGTCAAAGGTCACATACAAAACATTTACTTTCTAGAACATTCATTAGTTCTTTACTCCTAAAATCTTTTTGAAAGATCTTAAACGAAATATTCTATTTTTATTATTAATTTGTGTGTGGACGTTTGTTGGATGATGGAGGAACTGATTGGATCTCGATAATTTGGTTATAAAAAACAAGAATGAAGGGTTCAGAACCTATGTGAACATAAGTTATGAATGTTATAAGTTAAATATTGTGACAATATTGACAGAAATCTGCAAAAACGTGCGGATATACTGATGGACTGTCAGCTATAGTTTCGGGAAAAAGAATAGACGATAAATAAGTCACTAAAACTTTCGCAACTGTTGGTTTACCTCCACACCCTTCCATATAATATAGCCCATATCTAAATAATTTTAAGTTTGAATATTGTTTGACACATCACCAGCCATCTAACTGCTCTAATTGGTTCAAGAATGTACGAATAAATATGAAATGTATGAAAAATATATATTAATTAGAATCTAAATCAGTCTGCTTTTAGTCAATTTCGTTCAGCCTCACGTTTATATCACTGATGGTTTTTGTGTGGATACGAGACATAACCTGGTCCTTATTTTCTTGGTGGACCAATCCCATGGTTCCTACCTCCCAGTCATAAATCCCTACTAATATTATAAATGCGAAGGAAACTCTATCTGTCTGTCTGTTACGCTTTCACGCCTAAACCACTGAACTGATTTTATTGAAATTTGGTACAGAGATGGAGTTGACCTTGAAAAAGAACATAGGATAGTTTTTATCCCAGACTTTTGAAAGGTTCTCTTGGAAACGCGATATAACCGAACTCCACGCGCCCAAAGCTGCGGGCGGAAAGCTAGTATCAAATAAAACCTCAAAGTGTCTAGGACGGTAAACATTTACCATCTATATACCTATTAGTAATCAATCCCTTGATAAAAAAAAACAATTAAACTGAATAAATTACTTAAAACTTCCATTAAAAGAAACCAAAACTTAATTATACCTTCTATGAGACATTACAATCCTTTAATTAAACCGACTACCAACAATAATCCATATATTCCAAATGATATTGCAACTGTAGATGTGAATTGTAACAATCTCAAACAGAACCTTCCCACAAACATACCATTGTTATGTAAATAATCATAAAATGTTGATCAAACATAATTGTGTCGAGGCTGGTACAGAACAAAAACTAATACAATACTTGACATTCCATGTATTTCTCATAACTCTTTATTCAATACTAGCTGCGCCCCGCGGTGTTACCCGCGGATTTCCGGGATGTAAAGTAGCCTATGTGTTATTCCTGGGCGTCAGCTTGCTGTATACAAAATTTTATCAAAATCGGTTCAGCCGTTTGAGCGAGAAGAAGTAACAAACATACACACACACTCACAAACTTTCGCAATTATAATATTAGTAGGAGGAAACAAAAACTATTTGGATATATTTTGACATCCTTTAAGACTACCCTCCATATAAAATCTATATATTTTCCTACCAGTTGTACTTTTCTTCTAGGCGGGTTACTCCTGTGTGTAGTGTGTCTCAAGGCCACTGACCCTGTGTAAGGGTCCAGTAATGCTTGGTACGCGGATCTGTCTTCTTGAGTTGATATTGACTCCACGTCAGGGGAATCCACACCCTGGAATCGAAGAAATAAAGTTGAAAATCAAATAACACCAGAATAAGAAGATTAATAGTAGCATTTAAATGAAACTAATGTTTGTCGGATATACTACGCGTGCTTTATTTTGATAGACTACATACTCCCTACGTTTTGGCAACTTTTCGAAAAATATTTCATTTAAATGAATGCTCGCGAATATCTTAGATCTCATTAAAGTAGCATTCTTGAATAAAATTAAGTCAAATTCAATAAGTGCAATAAATAGTAATGTTTTAGGATCATTATGTGTTTTTTGGGGAGTCTCATATTATAACTTGTTATGGAAAGATTAAGAGAATTTTCTTTACTTACATTATGCATCCCAATGTTGCTAGACATTTCAATGGGCAGATCAAAACTTGGAACTGTTCGTGGAGGGGAGTCTCGATACTCGACCTGACACAGAAAAATTACTTTCACATATATGGAGAATCATAGCATACAATATTGTTACTACACATGTACATAAACACTGGAATATATACATATTGCCGGGGATAGTGCAAAACCGCGTAACTAGCATTGGTTAATTCCTCGTATCTACATTGGAAGCAGATTATCAGAAGAAAGTTTAAGATTTAAGTAATAAATTAAACACTAAATAATTGCTAATTGTGAAAAAATTCCCTTAAAAGTAGATAATTTAGAAAATATTTCAGCTTAAACTTTCTTCTGTGTAACTACTTCGAAAGCAGATACACGATATTATCCAATGCTAGTTACGCGTATTTGCACTATCGCCGATGATATGTAATTTAACTTAAGACCTCATTGTAACGCACCCCGGAATGAAAATCTTCTTTATCTATAACATCCAAGGCTGTTCTTTCTTCTGCGTACTTCTTATCTCTTCCTTCTCTCTCTGAATTCAGGAACACACTTATATTCTGCTGTGTGGTATCCTTCACAGGAGTATCAAGGAACCTTGGTATTATTATTCTTTTCTGATGCTGATCTTTGGCCTCTGTGACATTCAAAGACTCGCTAAGAAACTGACTGTCTGCTGTGACATAGTTCTCGGAGAAGTAAAGATTATTCTTTGAAGTATTCCTCTGTGGCGTGTAGAATTCATATCTATTCGTTGTTCTATCATCTTCTATACTGGATAAGCTCAGATCTTTCTCTTCTTCTGTTCTAGGTATCTTCTTTGTTATAGGGCAGTTCTCATCAGGACTGGCAAGCCCCATGAGTGGGTGGTTGGTAGTTAATGTGAGCGTTGAACTATATTTTGGTGTACTTATACCTATATTTCGGGCTTTATTATCTGGAGAATTCAGCGTAAGTGTTGTGAATCTTGATATAAAGCTATCATTGAGTTCGGTCTTCAATTTAGTGACGTTATTGTCTAGTATTTGGTCTGTGGATATTATGTTAGGGTTCTGTAACCTCAACACATCATTCTCATGGTCTACATCGTGTATAGAGTTGGGTGTGTGTTGTGTTGAGCGGTAAGACTCTGATGCTGTGTCCATCTTCTCATCCGAGGACGGGGAGCTGAGGAGGTCGTCGTCACTCAGCCGAGGTGACTGGAGGCAGCTACAACACATGAAGACATTATTAATAATGATAGCTTAGAAGTACCTGTTTAAAAATAGTTATTAATTAATTTATTGAAATATATGTATTTTTTTTTTAGTATATTGTTATATGTATGTCACAGTTTCAATTATATTTTGTTATGTAATATAAATACAATTTTTTGTGAATTTTCTGTCAACTTATTTCAATCTATGAAATTATTTTTCACATATTCTTATTGGAATTTTATATGTTAATTTTTATATTTCATAGTAATCTTGTTTATAGTTAATTTTGTAATTTTAATTTATTTTCAATGTATATTATGCTTACATTAAAACAGTATTCTTTTAAAGATATTTGTTTTATTCCAACTCATATATTGATGTGGTCCAGGTAATGTTTATATACATACATACACTATCAATACTCATTACTAAATAAATTAAATATATTTTAAGGACAGCAAAACATTATTTGGTCATATTTTTCATAGAATACTCTAATATATAATAAATACTAATATTTCTGGCAAATATTAATATTTGGTAACACAAAAAAATATTTGCTACGGACCTCCACATTCAATGTCTAGAGGAATGCAGTTCAAATGAAATCTGATTATAAATACAATACAATATTTAAAACATACAAATGTTCAATGTTTTTATCATTTCTATCTGTTATAAAATAATTCTATTCACATTAAATAATTAATGAATCGAGTAATTTGACTCTTGTTATTTCAAACGATGACTCAGTACTGGCATGTGGCGTTTAACATGAAACAAAAAATCTTTTAATTCCACTTGTCTGTGCATTTATGAATTTATATTATTTCTTTAGGTATTTTAGGACAAAGATATGTCGCAGTTATTTTTATATCTTTTGAGAGATGAATACAATTTAAATATTTAAAATGACCACTTTTTTGTTAACATATTTCAAATTACTAAAACCACTAGGATTTATATTATGTTAGTTATATATTAAGTGAGGTAATTCCTTACTTACTTATATTAAGTATTCCTTCTAAATATGTCAGTTCAAATTATATTTTTTAAATTTTTAGAGAATTTTAAAAGATTACTTAAAACCAGGCAGGTTTCACAGGAAAATATAGAAGATCAATTATTGATACTACATAACTACATATTTAAAAAAGATACAGGCATATATAGTTGAGTATTTAACTAATGTAAAATATAAGTAAAGTCATTACTTTGTCCCTGGTCTGTGTGTGTGATAATTAAACTTAAGTTTCATGTTTTTCTCATTAATTAATTAAAAATTCAGCATAAAAAAGGATAACTCAGCTTTTACTTTATTATACAGCTTATAATTTATATATACATTAGTAATTAGTAATATAAATAATAAAGAAAAATAGTATATTCAATAGATACACAATTTTTTGAATGAAAAGAGGGTGGGAATATTTTTTGAACGAGAAGATAAATCATTGCGATTTATATTGCTTTGAAGTTTTGTATACATTTAGATTTTTCTTTCTTGGTAAATCCTAAGGAAAAGCTAGTAATATTTAATAAAACTAATAAGAATGTTATATTATTGTATATTTAAATTAAAAACTAACTCGTACCGTATATCGTAGGTCGACGATAACTCACCTCATTTGTATCTTACAACTATAACTAATTAATTAAAGCACTGAACACAGGTCTCTAAGTAAACATATAATAAAATTATTCTATATTATTAAAAGCAAGCGTATATAACATCGTTTGTCTGAGGCATCTTTGAGTCTGGACTCACTCAGCGAAATTATTCATAATCTGTGTTGGACTTCAGAATTATGATCAAGGTTGCGAAATTTTGGGAGCGTTCAAAATAAATGTTTATTAAATTACTTTTAATAAAATAACATACCAGCTACTTTCTTTATTAAGATTAAATATATTTTTCAGTTAAGACATACTAACGTTTTGGTATATTAGATTTTAAAAATATAATGAAAAAAAATTGGTTAATGAGACACAAATAATCACAAAATAAATGTGATAAAAGAATTCAAACGTGTAGAAGTATGTTTTATTTGAGATAATTAGTAAGTCACAAGGAATTTAAAACATCTCAGAACAAGTTGTTTTCGTAAACAAATACATATGACAATGATGTCTTCTAGGTATTTGTTAGTAATCAACAACTGATTTATTTGAACCGACAATGTTTAATTCACTTATAAACGAGTTCTGAGGCTCGACGCCTCAACATCTTTATATAGTTGAGTTATTTTTTTTTAATTGCCATAATTTTTTTTTCTTTATTGGCTTCAACTTTTATTTCTTGGTACGTATTAATTGCTTTTTTAACGAATTAAATAAAGCCAATTTTATATTGCATTGCACTCCACTTAAATTTCTTGTTTTTTTTTACAAAGTAAATAATATTTAAAATTTTAAATATTTTATACTTACAAACACCAATATAAGCGTTTCTGCAATAATGCTTTTACTTTATTTTTGGAGTATGTAATATATATTTTTGATTTAAAAAGTGGTCGTTCATTATTGTTAAGCATAACTCTTAAATATTATTTTTCTACTATACATAACTCATATGTAAAGATAGACGGTTGAAATTACATTTAATTACCTAAATAATATATTCGTATAATTATTTTATTCAATACAAAGACAAAACATATAAAAGTGGAGTGTAAAATAAGAATGTTATCACAACATTCAAAGGATATCCGTGAGATTCACAAAATATTTAGCCTTTTTAGAGTTTCTTTACCGTTAAATGTTTCATAATATTTGGCTAAAAACTTGTATTTCTAGGCAGATCGGGAGCGATTTGAATTAGTACAGGTTGGATTTCGGTTGTGGATCTTTAATATTATAAAAAAAAATAAAATGTATATTTTGCGAGTCATATCTTTTATGACTTTGTGTTTCGTGTTCCCGTCGATAATAGCCGAAGACGTTAATTGTAAGTACTAATTTTTAATAATTTTTATCACAAAATTTATATAAAATTATAGAATTTTGCAATTCTTATACCTTTCATAGCTATAACGATAATTTTTACAATACTTTCTTAATTTACACAAAGTTAACCAATATAATTTCTTCCCATATTTCTTAGTGGTTATAAAATTAAATAGATGTTCCTCTTTTATTATTTTACCAGTTAAGTAAGTATTATTATTTTGTTATGGCAGCACCGCAAGAGTCCTTATTCCTTAATAATATCATTAATGTTTTAGATCAAGCATGCGTGGATAAATATTCTAGGAAAGGTTACCAACCTTGGCAGGAGTGGTCGGACCACTACACCTGCCACCGCTACCGTTGTGAGATAAGAGATGGAAAATATTTCATAGCTGCCGTCGGGTGAGACCATATAGTCTTAGAGTTGCCACTATTAAAAAATCAAATATTAAACTTAACTAAGATCTCTTTATATACTTACTTATTATTCAGTTTCTATTTAATATAATATAAATTTCATTTTAACTACCCAGCTGTCGTAAACCGAAGATACCCGAGAATGCTCTGGAGTGCCACGAATACATCGAAGATGAGAACGTTGGTATGTATCATGATTAACTGGTTGGTTTGTATCCGTGTGAATCATATCATTCATATTATAACATTCAGAGTTCCCGACCTGCTGTGCTCGATTGAGATGCGTCGTGGAAGTGAACGGCGAGAGGATTGTTCAAACGAGAGGTCAGCCTGGAGAACTCTTCCCTGACAAGTAAGAAAATGTTTCTTCTTTTAACCTATATATCTATATTGGCACTTTCATAGCTATGAAGAGAACGCACAATGTAAGAAGAGATCAGATTAATTCATGTAGCATTCTCAATAATTTTTTGGTTCATTTGAGCGCAAATTACGTCATATTGTTTGAGGAGTACAACCATACTACCAACTTTCAGGCCGTGGAAGGGCCAGCAGAACGAACCCAACCCTGTAGTCGGCATGGGCGTCCAGAACACTGGCGAGCCTCAGACACAGCCGCCCGGCATCTTCAACAGAGGCGCAGGCAAGCCAAGTAATATGTTAGACAGGCAGGAAAACGATACCCAATTATATTTATTTATAATCATTATTTCTATACTTTTCCGTCTGTTAACATATGAAACTGTGTATGTGTTTTTAAAGAGTGATTATTAAGTTCCTCCTTAACATTAAGCGACAGTATTGTTTGTGAGTGACATACTGAAGTAATATTTCATTAATCCAGCGAACGATATTCCCGACAGCGGATGGCAGCGACATTAGCGGTCGGAGATACGTCGATCCCTATCCCAGCCAGCAGCTTCAAGACTCCCCAAGAAAAAAACGCTCTACTATCTATCCCTTATTCGAAAGGGGATCGCCGCGAGACGCACGTCATCAACCCCACCAAGTCAAAATCCATGGTTATTCACCGGAAAGATATACCTCTTATTTCCCTAACACTGTAAAAGGATTGTCCAGCCCCAAATTGCACATCAACATGTCTTAAATGTCTACCAATTTATCATTTGTTATTTTGTATTCGTATGTTACACAATGCAAACGTTATTGTTTCATATTGCATGCTTCATATTAAATTATTACTAACTTGTTAACATTAATCCATTGTTTTCTTAAAACCAACGAAAATAGTAAGATTATAAGAAAGTACCTAAAACAAATTCATAAACAGAAATGCGATCCCAAATCCATAAGGATTTGATCTATTTAAAAAACGCTTTCAACGTTTATTATAACTTTAATGCTCATTCTGTGCCTGTATCAATACTATACCACAACTGCACGAGAAGGCGCTTTAAAATATTATAATAATCTTTTTTTTAATAGATCTATTGATTAAAATCCTTGAATCAAACACGGATTAATAGCTGAAAAATAATTGCAAAAAAAAACATTTCACAGTGACATTTAACAATCTGTCTTGCTGACATTTGTTTTGTAGTTAGTTGATAGTTTAATACGATTGTGTGGGAGAACAGGAAAAACAAGGAAATTTAAGTGGATATTTGAATATAAACTATTTATTATACAGTTCTAGGTTTGGACTAACTATTACAGACAGATCAGACAGACAGTATCTCATTAAAATGTAATACTATATCCGTCTTTAGACTGAGAAAACTTAAAGTGTTATCTATACATGAAATAGGAAGTCGTGTTGGAAACGTAAATATTTAGAAACACAAACGATAAAAACAAGTGTAGTATTACAACAAGAGTGAATTCTGTGACACAAAAATCCACCTCATTATAATGGTCATAGTGATTTGTATAAAATTGTAATAAATGTGAGAATGGAGCCAGAAAAACCATTTGCGTGTACTCTGCCGGACTGTGGCATGACTTTTACCAATGAGGATCACCTCCACGTACACACGAAGAAACACGACATGGTGTTACAACTGGGAATGGAACAGAAGGTGGCGTTTGTTGGTGAGGAAATAATAATAATAACATATACACATATAAAGATAACAAGATTCACATAGTAATTCTTTTATTAGTTATCAACGATTACTTCTTACATAATTCCTCTATAAACTTGTGGTATATATATTTTTATCACACTATGGTGATTATTCATCATAGATAAAGGAATTTCAGTATGGGACATAGTGTTGTCTGTCGGAGATTCATTAATCATGAGCATTATGAATGAAAGGCATTCAAGTGAATTTAATATTGTACATATTGATAACTATCTAACGAGAGCTTTGATATTAGACTATTAGTAAGTAAGATATATAGATGCCACAAAAAGTATACAATCTTCATAGTATCAGAATATTTATATAATATCATATATTTTAAACAACAATTTATTGATATATATTGTAATTGTTCAAAAACTCAGACTTGTAGATGTTAATTAAAATTTTAGTATAATAATATTAAAATGTACATTTCAGCGGATCAAACTCCGACACCCACGAGATTCATTAGGAACTGTGAAGAAGTGGGCTTGTTCCAGGATCTACAGAATGTTAATCCATTTGACGAGGGCTTCAAGAGAGCTATGGAGACTAAGTGAGTAATAATTATATCATTCAAGATATTTTAATGTAAATAAAACAAATATTTTTTGGATAACTGTGCATTATTTAGTGGTTTTTTGAAGTGCTGTCATATCTCAACTTCGTGATCATGGTTTCTGCAAAGTAACTGAAATATCGGGAGTATGTTGTTTTAAAATAATGAAAAAATGTGAAGTAATCAGTAAAATATTAGTTTCATTTATATGAATTTGATGAGTTTTAGATCTCATTATCTTGATGTAGATTATTTTTGGTGTTCAACACTCATTGAGGCTACTTGCTAAATGGAACTGAAACAGAGTCTTTAACTTTGTCAACTTCCAAAACTTTATTCTATAGTAATTGTTTTACATTTAGTAATAGAGTAGTCTAGACTGTTAAGTCTAGACTAAAAGATGCTACTGAATATTAAATCAATAGATAAAAAACAGAAAATAATTTATGTTATGTTAAAAGGATAGTATATTCATATAGATTTAGCAAACATAAAGCTAAAGAACAAAATCTGCCATTTAATATTTGAAGTCACAACATGTACTACAAGGTTCATATTGTCATCATTAATACTAATTCTAAGTTATAAAGTTAATATAATGAACAGCTTACACAAAACTTAGTTCACAGAATTCATCATACATTTGTGAATGTGAGATACAAATTAGTAAAATGAAATATTACCCATCTTCAGACATTCCTTGTCGTTGGAGACGAGTGCCATGGATGATGTTCTTCACACGCCTCACCTGGTGCTGCCGCTGGAGGCCGGGGACTGCGCCCTCTACACCAACAACCAGAGAAACATCACTATCAGTCGGTAAGGACATATATCGTATGAGCTTGGGTTCAGTTACAGTGGCTTAAGAACATTCTAGAATGAATAACTTCTATAGCTATTAAGTATTGACATTAAATGTTTATTATTATTAAAAAAATCTCATATATTTCTATAAAAATTACAGATCGTCAAGTGACGAGTCCGGAGCTGTTAAAGAATACGAAACAACAACTATATCAAAACTAACAAACGAGGTGACTACTATCAGTAGAGTTGTAGGAAAAGATGTGCTGGATAGAGTGACGACCACTGATGACGTCATCGTGAGACACGAAGAGACCGCGAGGAAAGACGGGTTCAACGAAACATCGGTCTCATACACCAACAACGTGATAAAAATACACAGCAACGTAGAGATAAGGAAAGACGGACACATAGACAAGATACATGAACCAAAAGACGGAAAGAACGAGAAGATACCGCCGATCATGAGTCAGAAGTCATTGGACTTTGTTGTGGACAGTTTAAACACAGAAGACAAGAATATGAAACGGACCAAAAAAGACAAAGACATAGAAGATTACGAAGTTATAATAAAACTGCCAAACGGAAAACATGTGAGAATGAAAACGGTAGAAGAATGCGAACAGAATGCAAAGGAGAAGTTGAATAACGTGATAAGGAACAGAGCTAAAACACCAAATGTTGTTCCTTTGACTACAGGAACACTGATACCTGTTACTATAGTGAGTCCACCGCTCACACACAACCAAATACCGAAGATACCGATAGCACCCATCAGTAGTGTGAAGACGAACTACAAGAGAGTTAAGAGAAGAGTGAGTGAGAAGGAAGATGCGAGGAGCGAGAGGGACGATAAGATAAAACAAGGACTTGAGAGTAGAAGCGCCGCCTCCAGGAGATATAGGTAGAGATAGAACAAGTTATATAATAAGAATTTTAGTTACTTTTTCTATGTAAGATATTTTGAGTTGATTTTCATTAATACCTTTATAAGCATAGTCTGTTTTCTATACACAAAAATTATATTCTGTATCAGATTTAATTATAAAATAAAATTTGGAGTCATGATATATTTGTAATATGTACATGAAAATCTACTTAGATATTTATATTTATGTTAAATGTTATCGGTCAGTAGTATCGGTTCCATAGCTCCTCCCTGAGGGACACTCACATATTTCAGAGAGAGATTAAAACAGAGTATGCATCAGCAGAGCGTAGAGATGCAGCAGTTGAGAGAGAGCAACTCGCGACTTGCGGCAGAGCGAGCTGTGCTGCAACACGCGCTGCTGCAACACCTGCGGACCTGCCCCGTGGGACACGACCTGAGTATGACGTCATCATCTACTACTTCTATCTCTTTCTCACTCTCTGTCTGTCTCTGTCTAACATCATCCATCTCTCTCTGTTGCAGGGAACGTGCAGGAGAAGCTGCAGAACGCCAGCCAGTTCATAAAGGATATCAATAATGGATAATTTCAATAATATATTGATTACAATTCATATTTAGTTATTTTATTTTAATATACATTTATTACATAAATAATTAAATTGAAATTTGAGTTCTTGTTATTTGATAAAATACAATTATTCAAAGCATTCGGTTCTGTCTTATATTATGATAGTTTCAAGGTTACGTAGCTGATTTGATAATCAATTTTTACTTGAATTATTAAATTTTGAATCGTTATATGAAGCTCAGATAGTCACCTAGACCAAAGTGTCCTCTCAGTGGGAGCTTTTAATACACTTAGTTCCTCTTTCGTATGAATGACATTCTTAATTGATGGTCATACATGGCATTTAAAGTAAGAAGGAAGTTCCTAATTATTACTAGCACTGCCTGATCCGAAATATTGATGAGTGGACATATAGTTAAGGATGAATTTATTTATATTGAAAATAAAACTTTCGATTACATTTAAGCGAAGTAATCCAATTTAATAATATGTTTGTCCGTGAACATGATAAATATATTGATAAAATATTGTCTTATTATTAATATTTGTAGACTTTTATTGTGAGGTATCGTGATGATAGCTGAATCTTCGTAACTTTGGATACTCTTTTAGGAATTGCTTCAATAAAGCAGTGTTAGTGAATATTGTTGAATTCAGGTTAAACTAAAAGAATATGTCAAATAATATTTTAATAATGAAAAGAAATATTAGAATAGTACTTATGTATATGTTTTTTAATATTAATACACAATTATGATTAATAACTCCCAGAATCTAAATTTAATCTTCCATTACGTTTTTCCTCCAGATTTTGACTAGAGATAAGAATTTGTATTATTGTTTTAACATGTACAATGTACATAGTGTAGTAGTTATTTCAAGGGTATTTCGGTTGAAATAAAACAACATTTGTAACAATATCTATAAATATGGCACTTTAATAATATAAATAAACTTTTAGTCGTCAGACGTCACCTTAGCAAATTATAAATAGCGAGTTCCGAGTTCGCTCCACAGATGGCGTTGTAAATAGTCCGACACAGTAAATACTCCTTGTATAATATTTAAACATCTGTTTCTTATATATTACTTTCGGATATGTATTTGCTAAAGCGACGGTTTATGGCTGAAGCTTGTCGTGTTATAAAAATAATACTGCACTGTTTTTATTGTCAGCAATAGCTTTTTAATATGCTTTTACATGATCTCCATATTATAAAGATAAGTAATAATATCCTTCCGACTCACTGCACCGACAACCAACGTGTTTAAAGATGAAATAAACTTCATATTCAACACTTCTATAGAACAATAAGTGATAATTTTCTTTACAATTTAATATATATATATTATTCTACAATAAATCATGAATCCAGTGTAAATACATTATATAATTCAACAAATTAATTACAATTCTTATATATATATATAATAAATTCCATATATATAATGTATTATATATATGGAATTTATTTTAACAAGAGACCGATGTAACATGAGGAAACATACACAGACAGGTCACACTGTGTTTTGTTTGTTCACTGAATATACGAAAATATTCACAAATAAAATATATTACAAAGAAAACAATCAATACTTTCTATTGTATATAATTTTCTTTTAATGATAATAATATGAATATTAGTCGTATTTCCAGCCGGTTCATCATCTACATACTGTTTAAGCATCTAGCTGTGTTAGTGCAGACTTTACATTATATTTATAAATACAAACTGCTCTCCCATGCTTACAATACCATACTTATAAAACGTCCCAACATGCCTCTTACTATAGCCTACTAATAGATATTAAAAATTTAAAAGAGCTATATCTTTATGCGTGATATGCGAAGTGAACAGTTTATTAAGGAATTTATATTCAAAAATAAATCCCCACAATACATAGCGTTCTTAGATTAGAAGCGAAAAAAACTTATTACAGAATGAATTCACATATTAAATTACAATTATTAATAATAAACTAATTAAAACCATGAGCAATGTGTCCACACCCGGTATACACTATGTGTATAGTCTTTATATGTTATGTTATCCGTGCAGCTCAGGTGACAGATGTCAGGTAGGTCGTGACTTTGACGTTTGAAGCCCAACTACGGTGCAGTACATGCTGGTTCGTTTACATAACAGTTCTTTTTAAATGAAACATGCGATGATTACAAATAATATCTATATAGATAGTCCTAGCTAATAACTAAGCTAAGATCGGGAAGATATAGTTCTGTAATTATCTATGTACATAATAAGAGGCGTAGAATGATTGCTGTTTTCATTTTGTATCGGAGTTTGTTTTCCAGCAATCATTCTACGAATAATAATGAGAAGATTTTCAAACTGGCGAGCGGCTGACTTGAAGGCAAGACGAGAGGTCGATAGAAATGTATCGATAAATACGAAACAATTATAAGTCACCGTAAGAGGAAAAGTACATTAATTATCTATCTATATATAAAAACTGATATTTATTAATAATGATTAAATTTATTTGGTGTTTATTTACCTAATTTAATATTTGAACTCTATATATATCATATAGCCTCCTAGATCTAGCATTTTATAACTATCAAAACTATTTCTCATAATACGTCTGTCTTCATGTACTATCATTGCCTCCAGGAATCGTCTGAACTCAACCTAGTATCGATCTATTATTACACTAATAATTGTATAAATATTATATTTTGTACTCTCTTAGGTACAAAACGCGGAAAATTATTATATATTATGTATTAACAACTTTATAGTCTCACTCGTTTCTGCAACATTGTTCATAATAATAAGATAACAAATAAAACAAGATCGGGAATAGAATTTGGAGGAATATAAGAGAATATTAACACGTTTAGAGATGTAGGGTCATATTCTTAGGCAATAAAACTCCACACAATATATATGTTAGAAGAACAGTGATATATATACTGTAACACCACAAGGTCTGTAGCCTTCACGTACGTCGAGGAGGTGCTACAAGTCTAGAGTGCGACTATGAGCAATTATTGGTCAGAGATTGGACCAGAAGCGGTTATAAGAACCGATACAGAGGACTAGACTAACATCTGGCTCGAGTAACGTGTTAGATACGACGGAGATAAGTTCCAGGAGAACCAGCTGCTGAAAGAAACAGAAGGGTAGAGGAGCTGGCGGTGAGCTGAGCGAATCTTAGACTGCGTGAAAACTAAGCACCTTCCAAACTATGACTACGCTACGATTGGACGAAGAAGAATTAAACTAGTTCCGCGCCGCGTCGCGACCCGATCGATATTATTCGATTCATGCCATCCATGAGCTGTTCATGCCACCAGCGTGCGTCAGAACACAAATCGAACCGGCCCCGCGGTGTTGGGGGCCAGTCTCGTGTTAGTATCGATCGAGGGCCGCCACTAGTCTAGCGTCCTACTTCACCTGCAACATGCACATGCTAACAAGACCAGTGCGAGCGCCAGGGGGAGGTCGGCGCGGGAGGCGGCGTTGCACATGTCCTCCTCACAGAAACACATGTGACCAGTGCCTGTACTTTCCATCATGCACACGTGATCCACCATGAACAGGTTGATCTGCAGCTGGGACGTGCACGTGCGGCGGACCACCTCGTATGCTGGAAAAGAACACGTATCTTTACATATATAATTCTTCTGTGAGTGTGTATGTCACTGAACTTCTCTCAAACGTTTGGACCGATTTTGATGAAATTTTTTTGTGTGTGTTCAAGTGTATCTGGAAATGGTTTAGATTCACAATTGTGTCCGCTGGACAATGTTTTTTTAATTAATTTTTTTTTATTAGAAGTTGTTGATACAAACGTTTTCTTTTACATTAGATGTAACAACTAACTAATATGTATATCAATCATTCTGTCGCACTTCAAAACACGGACATTTATGGCTTTAATAGGTAAACTCCAAAAATATAAATTAAAAAAGTAACAGATATTTCTTGATTATAGGGCGATACGAAGTTCGCCGGGCCTTCCAGTATCATATATGGAGAGGGTAGAATAATAATATGATTAATGTTTGGCAGAATTAGTATTTGATTTATCAGCAACAAAGAACTAAAGCGATACAGGTATCTAAGGTAAGACGTGATTTTCTAGGATCTAGGATTGTTTCAGGGAGAGGTATGTTATAGAGCTTCTGTTTGTCATAATATTAATATAATGTTTTAGGAGGGTAGGTAGAGATCGTTGGTCATGTCTCATCTCTCTCATGATGTTGGTACTCACGGCTCTTGGAGTATCGCACCATCTTGACGCAGCATCCGTTACAGGTCTGCAGCGGAGGCTGGTCCCTGGGCAGCGCGGTGTAGTTGAAGGGGTCCTTACACCGGCTGTCCGTCCAGCTGTCACACTCGTAACAGTATATAGTCCGGGCTGAGGAAGTTGGCTGTATTAAAACGAGCTCCCTACACGACTCACTGACTGTAGCTGTTACTGATACCCAAGTAGCGAAGATATTACATTTTAATATATTTCATACAAAAAATGGCATTTCATTGAAGTGATAGCAAGAGAAGCTTAGTGTTTTTTTTTTTGTTATTAATGTTAACGTCGAAGCAATGAACAGCTGACAGTCGAATTCAAATGCAAACAGGAAATATAAACTCTTCGTCGTTTATCGATAAAAAATTCATTGCATATTTCCCATTTGAATTACAATTCAAGCTAGTATTGATTATAATTTTGTTTTCATCGATAATTAATCTTTAATCACATCACTATTTTATAGTAATTTTGAATTCAAATTAGTTATAATGTTTAAAGCGTACTCTATAAGCGAGGAAGCAAATATAGAAGCATTAAATAGTGTTGGACATCACACAAATAATAAAGCACAGTGTGACAGGTATACAACATGACTCATAAGGCCACAACATTCACGAGACATTTCTATAGGAACAACACAATGTGAAGCGTGGAAGCGGCTCACGAAATACCTGATTACAGTTTATTATGCATGACCTTCTGAACTAGATTTCTTAGAAGTTACAGCGCCGTACATTATGTGGCCAATAACGGTCTACCCGCATGCAAGAACTGACTGACCCGGTCACTGGTCACGCGAACTAACACTTCGCGGACTTTATGACAGATTTTGCAATTTAAATTACTTTAATGCAGATATTTCATATAAAACAATGAACCATTTTTTTCTTTAATACTTTTGTTAGGAATTAAATAATATTATTTTGAAGCTAACAAAATAAAAGAATGTTTATTTGTATTAGGTATGTAGGTAAGTTAAAGCAATTAGTGCACTGTATGTACCACAAGTTTGTATTGTTACTACATACGGAGAGTTCAGAGTTTTCTTTCTTAATATTATTGTACGTGTGACGGTAAACGCTCCGTGTGTAGTGTGTGCGGACACGTGTTAAGCGTACAGTTCCAACTCTGTTATATCATAATCCTATTACCAGCCGCGTGTTTCGAGCTATTTCCTACTACATGGCGTCCCTATAACATATCTTAGATAGGTCTTCTAAATGAGTTATATGTATTAAATTGTAAGGCTTCGTTGCGGGCGAGCGATGCTTCATGACCAGGTCTGTGTGTATCATATGGGTATGTGGATGGGTAAATGTTCCTACATAGATACAAAGCTCTCTACCGAGAGTCAACTACCCACCCGGCCTACAGCAGGTTGTATGACAGTGAAATGGTTTGTCGAAGCTCAACCTAACGCTATGGTGAAGCTTGTGGCTTAGGATTTACTTTCGAAATGTACTCACTTTGGCATTCCGAGTGTACAAGAGGACTGAGACTTAGTGTCCACAACGCTGAAAATCCATGCTTTAATTAGTAAATAAAACTGAACACAAAACAACGGAAGAGAAAAAACAGAGCTACGGGCTACGGAGGGAACACTCCCGGGGATAACTGACCCGGAACAATTAGGAGATGACGTTAATACTGAGACAAGTATGAGATAGATATTGTGTCAGTTATCACCGGGTTGTGTTCTAGAACAGTCGGTGACACGTCATGTCGTGTTGAAGGTAGTAGATCATGCAATACTCATTCACTTGAACAGTTAACACAGTACTAACACCTAGACAGAAACAATACTAAATAATATCGATATCGATGTTCTATGTACAGGGAGCGGGCGCGTCACCACCACCATCGATATCGATACTCGTTGACAACACAACATGTCGACAGCTACGCGGACACAACTAGACTGCTTTACCAGTTCGTATGCACGAGTTGGCTTTTACATGCTCCACTCCGAACCAGGACATGAGGAGAACTGGAAAATAAGTTACATTCAGATTAATATACATATATAACATAGTGCTTGGACGCGGGTTTGTTCGCGTCGTATTATACAGGGTGACTGGTGAATTACTATCAATATTTAAGGAGAATACTCGGTACATGATTCTCATTCAAATTATGTAAAAAAATAGGTACTTAATTTTTGACAAAATTTCCTTATAAATAAATAAAGTGTGGATACGTTCCAAGTGTTCAAGTGTGGAGGCGTGCAGCGGCGTGCTGATACAACACCACGTCACGACACGCGTATGTGTGAGTGTGAGTGTATACCTAATCTGTAGGGTGTTCACACGATGCGTAATTAATTACACAACTTTTGGTTAACTTTACTTAGAAGTTTATTAATATTTATGTTATATTAATTTTTATTTTGTCATATATGATCGTCAAATATCACGTCCTCAAATATCGATAGTAATTCACCAGTCACCCTGTATAAGGTTCAGAGATAAATAAAACAATAGATATGTGAATTAACTGCCTGTGTCACGTGACTTGATACAGAATACAACTGACACGTCATGAATCATTATAACTACTGGGAAAGCCTGCATATATTATAGCCTATCCTGTTGTCTAAGCTACATCACAGTAAAGTTTCATCTACATCGGTCGAGTAGTTGTAATAATCTTGTAATAGCTTAGTATTACTGTAGGTTAATGATTGAAAAGTGGAAACACTTGTTGTGTAGTTAGCAGTGCACTTGGGGTAAGCAGATTCAACCAGGTACAGAAAAGTCAATCAAGAAGAATTTCACTTCATTGTGGCAGATGATTAGTGATAAACACAGACTTCTAGGTCCAAACCCTAAATAAATCTTCTTTTAAATTATTCTGATATTATTTCAATGATATAACAAAGGAATTTATAAATATTTACCAAAGCTTATCGTCGTTGAAATCTAAACACGCGTGTTTTATGTGTGAAATAAAGGACGTTCGGACAAACAAACTACTGAGGAATGTACAAAAAATGTTTACATATGTAATAATAGATGGACTGTGACTGAACTCTAGCAACTTTATGAAGATGAATAAAAATATCATCTATGTATATTAGGTGGAGGGTAGAGTCAGTTCTTTAGAGGGTAGTTCATAATGTAATAAGTTTATTTTTTATTACTGATACATATAATAATTGGCTTATCTTTTTAATAGATGAAGTATATAACTCCATATTATAGTGTTTTAAACGTGTAGCTATAGAAAAAACTAGGACTAATCGAAAGATTTAACGAGTATTTGTTGAGACCTCGTTTACAAGAAATACAGTTTTGTGCTATTTAGTTTTGAATATTTCATATTAATAACGTCAACAAAAACCAAACACATTTGATAACAAAATATCACGGAAAAACAACATTTATTGAAAACAAAATATCTATTCTTTCTGTCTCTCCCTAATAATGATGACAAAATTATTGTTATATAATGTAAAGTTATATTTAATATTCTGCAAGAGAATTTGTAGGCAGATAGAAAAACGTAATAGAACGCTTATCACAAGTGTACTTTGTTACACTACATACAGACAGTTTCCCCGTTTCTCATACAATAATGTATATTAATATTGTAGGTACAAAGAATTTATTTAATGAAACATTTTTAACCGCCGTATGTAGTGACGATAAAATATATCGCAACTTCAGTGTCTTTGAAGTGCACATTAAAATATTATGTATATACATACAAACGTAATAAAATTTATTTTCAGTTCAAATATTAAATAATCGTATAATTTTTTATCTATTTCTAACAGCGCGTCCGTCACAATGAAATTATGAACGCATATAGCGCCAGTGGATTTAGTGTTGGCGAGACGTTATATCGATAAAATAATATAGTCGACAATATTATAAAAAACATTAAGAATTACTCGTATTTTTAAAGTTGTGATATTTAATTGACTAATTATTTTTTATATGATTAAGTAAACATTTATTTTACATTAAATGCCTCTACCTTCCTTAGAAAATGAATTAGTATATCATATTGATGTATATTGCCCACAAAATATTTTGAATTTTCTGCAAATGTACGCTCGCACTAAATGTTTATCCTACATACTCTTCTCCCGTTTTTCATTCAATAACCTATATCAATACTATTATGTACGAATTGGTATTAAACTGTTAACGCTACGTGTAGTGACGATGGAACTTGTGGTAAGCTACGAGGAGTGTATTTGTATAGTGCGTCATCAACATAACGCTCCATTAATCAAAGGAATATAAAATTGTTACATTTACAAGAGAATCACGAGCTTTTATTGTAGTTGAAACATAAAACGCTTCTGTTTAATGATCGACACAGCTTGTAGGATAGAGAGTCGGGATGAAATAATTTCGGTGAATTTAACTTTGATTTAAACTAAGACATTAGATACTATTTTATTATTTAAGATACAGGTGAAGTCTAGCGACAGATGTCCTTTCATTGATAGGGTGAAATAGTTATTTCAAATACGTATATCCTAGAGGATGCTTTAATATAAATATTAATAACACCAACTTAACAGAAACATTGACTTTGAAATGTTACACTAACATAATAAGGTCAAAACAACTGCGATAGATGACTCGTTGACTGACCTTTGACACCAGATAAATAATGACCGTCTAAAGATTGCACTTTGTACTGAAGTTAAAAAATACTTTTCCGTTTAACTTCATAATTCCAGCCCATCCCTTACATTAATGTAGGCCGGTGATACATAACAATCTACATTAATTGTTTTCGAGTAACAAAATGTTTCGGACCTCTGAAAGATATGAATCGAAAGAGAAATTATGATATTGCAATAATATTGATAGTACAGTAATCGTGTTAATGGAATGACCTTAATATATGTTCTTCCTGGCAATTTCCCAGCTTTAGCCAGGGTCTGCCTTAATATATATAATTGGTTAAATAATTGTCATTATAGAAGATGTTTCCACAGAGAGGTCAAATTTAAACAGTTCCTGCTACGACATACATATTGTTGGAGGAATGCCAAATGCTACGACGGCTCGCATCTGCAATAACTTCTCGTTTCCACATCACCCTAGCATCGAGAAGTACAGACATCATGACCCAGAACATGTTAATAGATGAAAAATATTTGATATTACAGTTTTCTTTTACCTAATACCTAAAATACCTACCTACCTAAAAATTTACCTCATTTTTAGGTAGGCCTAATTCATGTAACTGACTTTATCAAATATAGGTATATAAAAATATTACGATGAAGATGAAACTTTATATATTTTCTATTGTAGTAAGTATTGTCTACGTAACGCTTGGTTTGTTCTAGATGTAGCTTAGAACAATTACTATAGAATACTAATCTAAATCGAAACTACGGAAGTTACTACACTGATATTTTAAAGTCACTTAGAACATAATTTGCATAAATAAATAATTAAATTTATAAATATAACAGAATTTTTTATAAACACGGAAAACATATTTCATATAAGTCCATTATGCTACACTAACACGCAAATAAAAAACGAGTAAAATGAAATCAAACAATTATTCAAAAATAAAACGTAGCGTGTTAAAAAAATATTAAAAGAGAAACACGACAGTAAAAAACATATGAAATAATCGCGACAAGGATTTATATAAATAACAATAAAATATAAACTAATATTTTACGGATTACGCGAATTTAATTATATTAAAAACTACATACTTCCGAAGTTTCGGTTACTTTTCAGCAACTATGATCACGACGACATCTCGTCTTTCCGTTAATAATAAATTACGCGTAGTAATCCGAAAATATTAGTTTCATTTAAATGAATACTCGAAAGATCTCAGTATTATCATTTATGAAAATTGGTATTTTTTCAAACAATCTCCTTACCCTACCCAAAATCTGTGCACACTGATAAATAGGAATAATATACATATAGGAATGAAAAATATATTGGAATATATAGAGTTTAGTTGAAGACATCACTGATTAATGCTGATTCCCAAAAAGGGATTGATGTCAGACAGGCGGTCGTAAAAACAATAAGCCAAAACTATTCACAACATGTAAGGCAGACCCTGGTTAAAGCTGGGGAATTGCCAGATAGAAGAAGAAGATATAGAGGGTAGTTGTACATTACCTGGAACGGGGAATATCCAACGCATTTTCGTCAGTTCGTCCGTCCGTCTGTGTGTGTGGAGCTCACGGCCGGTGATCCATCTCGACTATCAATACATCCTACAGCCTGTAACTTTACTTCTACACTGTTAGCGACCTTACACATGCGTGATACTTATACACAAACATATTATATAATGCATCTATTATTTTATATATTGGTACTATTTTCTTTATGTATCCACGGCTTTACTTAATATTTATATTTTATAATCAATAATTCACGAAATTTAAATTACGCGTCATTTTTTTATTCTTTACGTAATTTTATATCAAGTATTATGAGAAATCTTATTTTGAGTCATACCTAAATATATCAAACATTTTGATATTGAAATTAATATTTATTTTTTAGGAAGAATTTATTAAAAATCGTAAAAAATCGATATTTTAAAACGGTCAATCACTATTTATAATTATTATTATCTGATGGCGGGAACACATTAGTTTGTCATCGTGTTGATTTAAATATAGATGTCACGTTACGATTGACGCGTCAATATTAAAACATTAATATGGAATAAATATTAAATTATCCTTAATATATATTAATAATTTAAAATTATCTATTCGTATTCTTAATATTATTATTAATTTCGAATATCTTTTAATATGTTCACGTAGTTTGGGTCATTTATGTCGAGTCCTACTCGGCGCTGGTTCGAAGTTAGACATTAAAATTATTTCTCATACTGATATATAATTTATTTTAATTATTATTTAATATTAACAATGATATATTTTTTGTAATGTTCCGTCTACATTTATCGTTAAAGCGACTGACACTGGCGATGCGCGGGCATTATTGATTTTAGAGGCCTGTCGACCCATGCGACTATTGTTTACCACGTTATAATTAAAAAAATATAACAATTATTTAACAAAATGTATTATATTATTCACATTTAATATTATTAATGATTGTTCTATATTATTTATGTAATTTCAGTTACACGGATCGTATATAATTTCGATAAATACGAGAATAAGTTTTATTTAGCCGTTATATAAATCTTACCCTAGGTTCATTTTACAGAGACGCCAACACACTATCTACTTATATTAACACCGACTGTTATAAACACACTGACATATTTTAATTGTATATTTATGTATATATATATTATTTTCTCATAATCTTCCGTTCCTATTTGATTTGTACATTTTTTGGAGGATGTTACCTCACGACCGCGTTGAACACACTGGCTCAGTGTTGACACACCTATACTAGAAACTCCCACATTATTACGTAAATAGAAATGGGATTTCATAAAATGTGTCATTTATAAATGTAACGTTACGTTTGATTTATTTTATTTCATTATAGTTATCGTTCTAAATTATTTATATTAATCCTGTTTTTTCACAATCTCATAACGGCTGGAATAAATTTTGAAATAAAAATTAATTGACAGACAAATTCTAAATTTTTGATACAATTTATTTGTACCAAATGCTTTTGATCACCTATTATTAGATTTGATGTACCTATTGTTTTGAGTGAATAATATTACCCGATTTTTCTTTATATTAATGTCAACTATAACTGGCAACTTCCCTCTGCGTCATGCTGCTATGCGGCAAGTTATAATTTATAGGCATGCCATTTCTAACATACTACAGAGTACAGGCCCTGTGTTGTCACGACAGAATATAATACAATTATGTTAATTCATATGCGACAAGAATTAAAAGATTTACAGTTAATAGTTTTATAAATTAACAACAAAACACAGTTAGGGTTAAGTTTGGCTGAAGCCAAGAAAAAAAAGTAGTTATTGTCATATAAGAATATACGATTCAATATTTACTATTCTAACTGCAGTAAAGTTAATTTAATTAAGAATAATTATTACTGTATGAGCTCTTTATTAGACAGCTTAGAATAATTAGCAGTCATACGCTAGATTGGGTTGAAGGTGTTTCTAGGTAAAGTCATGATAGGATGTTATATTCTCCTTAAAGAAATATTTTAGATCCGTACTCTTTATATACGAAGATCTATGAAGTAGGAAAAACTTTCACCGTCAGTATTCAAGTCCTTCATGTATTCTACTACCCGCTACGAAGTTAACAGTTTTTCCATTTATTTTTAAATTAAACTGTTATAAATTTATAACAAAAAAATGTTATTTTAAAAGAATAAGAAACATTATCTTACTTTTTATTTATCTTAAATTTTTTTGCTTTATTTATTTAGTAGTATCTACTTATTTGATTGTTTTTATTTTCGTTTCAATACGTATTTTGTTTTATATGTAACTAATAAACTAAAATTCACTTTATGTTAGTTTTTATCATTGCTTACAACAATAAACCATTTTAATGAGACGTTTTACTGTCCGCGTGTGTGTTGTATGTTATAATATTGACACAAATGACTTTCGGTAGTTGGTAGTGTATTTTTAAATACGAACTATGAATTGTTTTCGTCTGAAGAGTGTAAAATTTTGTTGTTTACATCAGTCTATTTGAATACTTGTAATGAAAACATGATTAGTAGAACTATTCTTAAATGACATCATTAGAACAGATGACATCTGTAGTGGAACTGGAACAAGTATTTTTTATGAGAAAAGTGGCAAAGGAGCAGACGGCCTACTTCGTGGGCAGTAGTTACTGTCACCTATAAACAGCTTTGAGAACCTTGGTCTTTTAGGAATAAGGAAGGGTAGGAATAATTGAATGTCAGGAAAATATGGCTATCGGAAAAGGGCAACCGGTTCTCTCACTCATCGGACGAAACGCAGCCATTAAAGGCTACGCCAATCACGCCAATCTTCTGTGAAGGGGTGGTATTTCCCCGGTCAAGTCAGCCCATGTTTGATCTGTAGTTGCCAAAGTAGCTGGCAAGATGCAAAGAAGTGAAGCAGAAGCTGGCAGGCTAATGGCAAAATAATCATATATGGTTTGAAGTGCTGACGGCGTGCAGTACCTACTTAAGGCCATATGATAACAAAAAATGAAGCGATCTTTGATCTTTTTCATTTCTTCTGTCGTGGATATCTACAGAGGCAGAGCTATGTGACCCGGTTGGATGATGCTAAATCATTGAATAGGTTCATATTAGGTTTAGAGATGATTTATTTCCCATTAAGAACAAGGTTCACTTACATAGGAAACTTAAACTAGTAACATAATAATAAACATTTATAAAGTTAATGGTGATTATATTTATACAAACATTCAAATATAATTATAAAGTTGGACAGTACGTTTTTAATTTAGCCTTCATAACGTATTTTTCTTGATTTGTTTTAGTTAGGTATAGATGATGTTAAAAATTAAGTTGAATTGAAAACAGATGAATGACCAGACACACTTTAGAGTATTTTCTCTCAGTTTGGTTCAATGAATATTACGATTATTTATAACATTTATAATAATGAAACATTAATGTAAGACTCTCAGAAAGATATCTTTAAGTTACAAAAAGGAATGTAGTCTACATATTTATATTATAGTTCTTCACTCGTAATGTACAAGTGTATTATTTCCTCGTGGTATCTCGTCATATGTATACTGTCACCATTCTTCTCATTGTTCGCGGTTTCTCCTAAAAAGCAGTCTCTTGTTCGTATCTGTTTATTTTAGGGTTCCGTAACACAAAAAATGGAACCTTACACCTCGTAAAACGACATCTGACAATTACACAGAAAATAAATCTTTATTTCCTGTGTATCGTGTACAGAACCAATTGTGTTGACTGTCAATCTTAGTTCATGTATAATGAGGTGAACAGTACAAAAATCTAACTTCCAGTTCAATAAAAACATTATTTATAATATATGGTTTTGATACTCTTCAAAGCTTGTTTACAGTTTATTAGTAAAACTAACATAACTTCCAATTGACCTAGAATCAGATATTTGGCAAAAAAACAATGGAACGTGTCTCAAGTGTAGTGAAGGGAAGTCGGTCAAACCTTAACTTAGTTATATAACGACATAATGATCGTTAAGTAGTTAACTTCAAGTTTAAAGTTAACGCCAGTTGTATCAGTTACGAAATCATTAATCAAGGAATATGTCAGAAGGACGGGAGTTCTTAGTAGAACAGTCTCTTGTCATTCGTCCATATTGTTTAAAAGTGAACTAATACTCTCTTATTAACAGATACTACTATAATATTGGAATTTTTGTAAATAAAAACCTCAATGTATAGTGACGATGTAAAGTTCAATAAGCATACCTAAGGTTACAGTGTTCATAACTATAAAAACTACGGAGACATGTATCTGATCTTTAAAATTTTTTTTATAAACTAGCTGCGCCCCGCGGTGTTACCCGCGGATTTCCGGGATGTAAAGTAGCCTATGTGCTATTTCTGGACTTCAGCTTCCTGTATACAAAATTTTATCAAAATTGGTTTAACTGTTTGAGCGTGAGGAAGTAACAAACATACACACACACTCACAATCTTTCGCAATTATAATATTAGTAGGATTTCCACCAACACGCTGTATATAAGATGTCTGTATCTTGGATGTCTCGTTTTCATGAACTGTACATTGTTTATTATTTATTTAAGACTATAATCAAACTTCTCTTTATGAAGTTATCTTCATATTATCGTTGCTACGACATGTTTAAACATTTGTAAATAATATAGCTGTGAAATTAGTTTGGCAGTAGAACTCATAGTAAATTGATAGGAAAAAAGATTGTTCAGAGAATATGAAATAGTTTATAATAAGAATGTTAGACTTTGTGTCTAGATTGGTTAGCTCTTTAGAATTTTGGTAGTTACTATGTAATAATCAGTACGTACATATCCTCTTGCGACATTCTGTTGATTTGAATTAAAGTAATATTATAGGTTACCAAAATAAATATATTTTAATTCCTGAAACAAAAATAGAAATATTGTGTTACAACTTGTAGTTTTATTTTTGTGGAAGGGAATTCTGACAGACAGTCATAGATTAAAAACAACTGACATACAAGTATTAGGAAAACACAAAAATATATTTTATTTATTAGAGATGAAAATAGTTTAAGTTTCATTTATTTATCACTCGTCGCATTACAGTCGGCCTCAGAGCAGGGTTGTAGTGTAAGGCGCAGGGCAGATCAGCCAAGGTCGAGGGGCGCCGCAGAGACCTTGGCAGCTCTGCCCTAGTGCAGCAGATGACCCTGTGGCATTAATATATGTACTTTGATTGGGAATTTGAACGAAAACTCTGCTTATTATTTAAACTTTGTCTATTATCTTTCTTGTCATAACTGAATGTTCATAATTATTCACATTTTTCAGTTGATAAATTTACAATTTAAGTTTAAAGTACGTACAAAAAAGATTGTTCTGAGCTCACATCACATATATGTTACTGGCGGCTAAAGTTATATTGACGAAGATGATCCCGCAGGTCGCAGGTTCGAATCCCGCTCTTGTTGATAAATGTTTAGTACATATTTCCTAATTTAAAATATTAACTCTATATTTCTTAAAACATACTGACTAGCCTATTGATAGTTATTAATGTATCTATAGTAAACCCGTCTTTTCAAGTTTATCTCTGTGTTTTGTTGTCAGTTTATATCAAGGTCCTCTATTTTTTCTATGTTGTCTTTTATTACATGTTTTCCGCGATACTAATATATAAATATTTTAAAAAATCAAAACTTGTCATACGTTCTGTTAAAAAATAAAAAGTTTATATGACAGCATTAAAGAGGATACAGACAAAGTGGATGACCACGAATTTTTAAATATATATATAATATTACTAGCTTTCCGCCCGCAGCTTTGCCCGCGTGGAGTACGCTTACATCGCGTTTCCAAGAGAACCCTTCAAAATCTGGGATAAAAACTATTCTATATTCTTTCTCAAGGTCAACTCTGTACCAAATTTCATTAAAATCAGTTCAGTAGTTTAGGCACGAAAGCGTAGCAGACAGACAGAAAGAGTTACTTTCGCATTTATAATATTATGTAGTAGGGATATATATTGTTCAGGACTTAGGCTTTTCTTATTTTGCCGCATTTACGCACGATACAGTATTGCTACTTATTTTAAGCAGGAGTTTGATATATACAATGTCATTTCTTTTGTTTTGTTCAAAATTACCTTTAACTTTTCTCGCATTGCCGCAAAAGGATATTTTGGAGTTTCATTTTTGAGACTATATTGAGTCCAAGTAAAAACATATATAGTTTACGCATTGAACTTTGATGTGAAGATAAATGAAACAGATTTTTAATATATTTCAATATATATTGTACATTTTATTTATCACACATTCAGATAAACAGTGAAACAACAGTTTGACTTAAAATAAGCTTATTAGAATGATAAGTCTACAGGTAGCTTATAACATCACATTACTGTGTAGTGTAGGAAACACTAACTCAGATCACTTAGATAAACCTGTACCTACAATGATCCCTCTCCAAACTTGTTACAGATGATTCACAGTATTTTATTGACACGTTTTATCAACGCAGTGGCATGAGTAAAGAAATAGGCATTGTCTGTTAAGAATGCTTACCAAGAGTTAGCGTCTTCACACTACAAACGACGCGTTTCAAGTTTCTCATTCAATCACCTACGTTATTACTATTAGAGTAGATGTAGGAATGAAATACTCTTAACTGTCTGTACGTAGTGTGAAGCTTCAAACTTGTGTTAATCGTTGTATAGTGATGCTTACCTCCTTAAGCGTTCCAACTGTTTCATTTGTTTGCATCGTTAATACTAACACCAGAAGCGATCAAAGACGTATCAATACGTTCCCACAGAAATTAAAATTAACAATAACTTGATTAATAACACAGATCGGTTTAACTTTGAACTTTCGCATTAACAGATAAGTACAAGCAGGAAGCAGTATGATTACTACGAGTGTGCGTCTTTACACTACACACGTAGATACGAGAAACGATACGTATGTAGTGTGTAAGCGGACTTGTGGTAAGCATACTGGATATATGAAAGATATTTTCATTTAAATTTATTTATTTATGTAACATGTTATAAGCTGTGGCTTCTCAAGATTATTACAATTTGAGTATTTCTTGTGTTTTGTCAGTTTATATCTGTGTGCGAGTTCAAAGAAACCAATTGAATTGGTTTAATAAAACACATTGTACTAGTGTATACTGAACACGCGGCGTGGCTCCTTACAGCTAGAGCGAAAAATATACGTACATATATACATAAAAACCACTTAATATATTGTGTTGGTTACTTCATATATAAGCAACGACGAATAAAATAATATGTATAAATAAAAATAATAACAACAAAACAAAAACAAAATAGTAAAAATATGGTTTATTGCAAAATATAAACATTATGTACAAGTCAAGATGGCGGGCTGTAGCTGTTCCCGCCGAAATATGGCGTCACAATAATATCACAAATAACATAAAAAATAACGATTACTTTAATACATCATCGATTATTAACTGATAATAATTAATTATAATAGTTTCTGTGAAGGGAAGACGTCGAGAGCGAAATGAAATACACGATACAACTTATAACATAGTGTTAGGTCAGTATATAAATTATTATCCTATGTATATGTAGCTAGCTCCGGCCCGCGTCTCCGCCCCCGTCCGTGTCACGTGACCCTGTCTCCCGAGCTGGTCCTCTTCATCACATATCGGTTACAATCTACACGAGTCGTTCTAGGTCCCACTTCCCGTCTGTCAGTTATCACTAGTAACGTCAAGCCCCGTGTGTATACATGTGCCGCCTCCCGGACCCGCCCGTGTCCTATATGATGGTGCAGCAGCGGCAGTAGCGCGGCCTGGAACCAGCGCCGGCCGCGGGCGGAGTCACCGGCGCGAAGTATGCGTGCACTTTGATGTGAGGCAGGTGGTTCTGAAAACAGACAGACAGAATGAGAGATGTCCTAAGAGTGGAAGAGTTTCATTAAAATCCGTTCAGTATATATCATTTAAAAACAATACTTCTTTTTATAATCCTGTTATCACAATGTGCCGCCTTTATAATGAAATAACTAATAATAATATTCATGAAATTGATATTTTTAACACAAATCAACCGACCTTTGTAAAAATTGTACAAAAATGTCTATTTTAAAAATGCAATTTGTAAATTTAAAAATTGTAATTATTAATAATTATATTTCTTTTGTCTTTTTTGTAAATTCAAACAAAAATTGTTTATTATACCATTTATTTATTTTCTTCTTGTAAATTTAATTCGTGTAACTTCATTGAATATCACTTTTAATATTTTATTTTTGTCTTTTTTTGCTTAGTCCATTTAATTTAATTTTATTATGGTCTTGATATAACTACTGTTGTTATTGTTTAGTACTAATACATAGTTATCTCCTGTATTGGAAGTTGTTAACTATAATAATTGGCAATCCCGTCATGTTGTGCTTGCACCCTTAGGGTTATAATCTGTTCGATACGATTAATGTTTAAGAAATATTCTTTATGTGATTGTGACCTGTTGTGTTTGCCTTAATAAATAAATAAATAAATATGAAGAGGCAACAATTATCTATCTAGAGACGAAACCTTATCATTCAATGTATTCACGGTGCGTGTGTCGGGTCCATCGTTGTAGTGAGAGGAGCTTCAACAGTGACTGGGACTTGTGACCCAGGTGTAGGTTTAAAGGACCCTATCTAACACGTTAAACGCTCACCTCCACCGTCCAAGCTCTTCTCTCTACTAAATTTGAAAAGAATCTACTAGGACTGCCTTCGAAGTTCGTCCCAATAATGAATTGATATTAGTTCTGGATAGACCCAAGTCTTTTAATATTATGTATATTCGCCACGTGTGTCAGTTTACATATTTTATCTCGTCTCGTGGTCCGCTCTTCCTACTGAGTCCTCACCCTTAGTTTCCTGATAGCGTTCCGTGTGACCATCTGACAGTCGTACAGCTCGATGAGCTGCAGGTTGTGACACGACACCAGGTGTTCCAGCGCCCCGTCCGTCACCAGCGGGCAGTTGTCCAGACCTGGAAAATACCACAGATGTGTGAGTTATAGTATAATAGCTTTCCGCCCGCAGCTACGCCTGCGTCGAGTTCGGTTACATCGAGTTTCCAAGAGAACCTATCAAAAGTCTGGGATAATAACTATCCTATGTTCTTTCTTAAGGTCAACTCTATATCTGTACCAAATTTCATTGAAATCAGTTCAGTGGTTTAGGCGTGAAAGCGTAACAGACAGACAGACACAGATAGACAGACAGAGTTACTTTCGCATTTATAATATTAGTAGGGATTACTAAATGTTTGTGTGTGTGTTAGTTACCGAGTACTGTAAGATGTTCCGCGGCGCACGGAGACATCGACAGCTGCTTGATGCCGTAGTCCGTGATCAGCTCGCAGTGGGAGAGAGTCTGTAGCAGGAGGAGCGAGGTCATACATTATATGTAATATGAAGCATATGATAGAGTATTATATGGATATATGTATGTATCGAACCAGTTTTTCTAGTCGCGGACAGCCCATAGCGAGATGCACGAGCGTGGCGTCCGTGATCAGCACGCACTCCTCTAGGTCCATCCTTTCGAGCATGCGGCAGCTCTGCGAACACGGGGTCTCGTTAATACCTGACTGTGTGTGCGTGCGTGCGTGTGTGTGTGTGTATATATACCCTGGCGAGCGCCTGGAAGCCGGCGTCAGTGAGCATGTTGCACTGCGCCAGCTGGAGCGTGGTGAGGTCTGGACAGCGCGCCGCCAGCGAGCACAGGGACACGTCCGTGAGGCGAGGACACCCCGACACACACAGGCGACGGACAGACGGACCCAGGGAAGAGATGGACTCGTCTGTGAGGTTCTGGGGAAGACAGAACGAGTTAAGGGGAAGACGGTTCTTACTTAAATAAAATTGAAAAGGTTTTAGACTCATTTAAGTGGAAGACGCTCCATGTCTGTTCAAAGCTGTTAAATATATAATTATTCTATCTTGTATATATTATGTATGCATATATCTGTGTCTCACCTCACATCCCTGTACATTCAGCACCTCCAGGTCGGGGCAGTGAGTCGCTATACTGGTCACGGCGCGGTCGTTCACGTTCTTACAACCTGCAATCATTAATTAATTAATTTATTTATTTATTTTCATTTATTGACAACCCAACAGCGTTACAGTTATTTTAGAATAGTAACAATATAGCTATAAACAAGGCCAATTTAGGATTACATAAATTTAGAGTTCTACAGTTACACTCGAGCATACAATTAAGGATAGAAAGAAAAGGAAAAAAAAAGCAAAGCAAATGGTGTTAAATACAAAAGTGTGTGTGTGTGTGTTTTTAACATAAAATTACGGGTTACGATGTATCTTTATTATTTCTTTTTAAGTTGGTTTTTAGTAACATGGTTCAGATCTAGATGTGAATAAAATTTATTGTATGTATTTGCCAAACCAATAAGTATGGAATTTTTGGTAATAAATAATAAATTAATAGTAAGTCAAGCTAACTCTCTGTTAATCTGTGTGTGTGTACCTCTACATATGAAGCTCTTCAGTTTCGGACATCCCCGGGCGAGCGCCTCCACGCCGTTCTCTGTGATGGACTGACACCACGACACGTTTACGTGAGTCAGGAGCTGTACACATACAGACAGACACACGTTATATACACACTATATACACATGAAGATGGATATAATTAATGTTGTAGAAGGGACGACATTAAACGACAGCGCCACCTCGTGACGAGTGGACGAACTATTAGCTATAAGTTTATTACGGCGGCGTGGACAGTGATTTGGGGTAGGGTTATCTACAAGTATATTGTTTTTTTTTCTACCACCACATCAACAGTGAGGAGAAACTTTAGTTCCAACTCAATAATAATAAAATTATTTATTTGAGTTAAAACACCATTACAAGGAATTAATGTATACAAAATAACAGTGCACAAAAAAAATAAAATGAAAAAGGAAATGTTCATACAAAATTAAGATATAAGTAACGTCTTACATAAGTATTTCATAGAAATTCTTACTTAAGAAAAAGGTATGTAAAACATTAAAAATAATAATAAAATTAAAAGCCACCACCATTCTTAAATTAAAGTTATTGTTAATCTTATCTAGTTACTGGAGACAGAATTGAGGTGTTTTAACCAAAAAGGCTGCACCTCAGCATACTGCTGCAATAAATTAAGATTTATTACAGCACTGGTTTTCAGTTGCCACCTGTTAATGTTTGGACCAGTAGCCGTACAGCATCTATTAGAGTTTTTTACCTAAGGGAAAGTAACATAAATAATACAAGTCAATCTAATACAAGTGCTTGTATAGTTGAACAGTAAGTACAAACTCACGGGACATCCGTCTGAGAGCGCCTTGAGGGACACGTCCGTGATGCTGGGACACGAGTCCAGGTTGATTCTGGAATACAAGAATAAATAATGTATTACATCATGGTATATAAAAACAATGGTTAAACTTGTCTGTTTAGATGACAACCTCTTTGTTTCTTACTAACCAGCTCCTAATGGTCTCTCTGAGAATGGAGAATCATGAAGTACACAGAGAAACGAAACAATCTGTTATACAAACATCAACAACATGATGCTGAGGTCCAGCGATCATGTATAATACAATATAATGGTTGAAGAATACTAAACACTACACACTGCCAACTAACATTATTAAACTGTTTTATAGTTTCCTTGTGAGTCTCCCTCCCCCCTCACCTCTGTAGTTTCCCGCACCTCCTGCCCAGCGCCTGGCACGACTGGTCGGTGATCTTCTTACACTTGTTCAGGTTCAAATCCTCGATGTTCGGACACGACTGGAATGATACAAACGTTCTTTACAACAGATATTATATTTGTACTTCATAAGAAACTGTAACCCAATATATACGACGAATTATTACATCCGTCTGAATCTTGTATTTTTTATTTGAGTAGTATGTTTTTCTAAGAAGTTTTATGATATTCTAGATTGCTACATACAGAGTCAGTGGTAGCGTAGTAGTTAAAGGATCCGCCTCTCGTTGCCGAGGGCGCGAGTTCAAACATGGCAAGTAGCAATGTGATTTTTCGGAGTCATATTACTTTCTGAGAGTATTTAGACATTACTGACATACGGCGAAGGAAAACATCGTGAGGAAACCTAGACTTATAGGTTTACAATTATAAGTTTGAAATCACCAACCCGTCTTGAGCAAGCGTGGTGATTAATGCTCAAACCTTCTCCATGTGAGAAAGAGGCCTTTGCTCAGCAGTGGGCGCTGATAGGCTAATGACGACATTGAAACGTATATATTTTAATGATGTCAACTTCACTCCTCCTCACCTGCGCCAGTGTCTTGATGGATCCATCTCCGATACTCTCACAGCCTCTCAGAGACAAGGTCCGTAGAAACCCGCCGCACCGCTGGGAGATGTTCTCTATCACTGGACCCTGAAGACATGATAGGTGGTTGGAGTATATAGTTCAGGATACACTGGTCCTAATTGAGGTCAGGTGATTCATATAAAGGGAACTTCGAATATTCATAGTAACAATGTTTATTACACTTTAAAATAAAAGCTTAGCAGACTTCCTCAAATAGAAGTAATTTTGCAAATCTATTGGGACTCTATCGATCCGTTTTTTTGGGTTATTACATTAAAGTTACTGCTCTCCTTCACTCAAAAATTGTATGGAGAGAAATATATTTTTTTCGATAGATTTTTGTACTTCTTGCCATGGTTATTACATATTCTTGTTATTGTACAATGAACCCCAGCCAAAACTATTTGAAGTGTTGAGTTTACTGATGGACGATGTATGTGATCTTTTTTAAAAAACATTGGAAATAATTAACTGTTTTTATATACAAAGATTTACTCGTAAGGATTTTCTGGTGTTGGAGTTCTGACTTTGCTACTTATTTCTTTTGTTCTGTTTTAACCATTGACAGGATGCATTATATGAGAATTAGAAGAGGGACATTGTCTACAGCGAGACAGAATAACGCCTTCACTAAGACACAGACTATAGTTCAGTGTAATCTAGGAATAAAATAACCAACGGACGAGCGAGCATGTATCTTACTATCATATCATAGAATTAACACAGATATGAACTTTAATTAATCTTTTATAAATTAGGGCTCGCAGCTACAAATAATTTTGCATGCAATACTGGGACCGACCTGGTGAGAATTAAAGAATAATTTGTGTTGACATACAAAATGTCTTGTAAATGACTTTATCTGTAATATTGATATTATAATATATGAAGTACGTCTTCACCTCCACATCTCTCTGGAAGTCGAACAGGTCTATCTTCTGCCAGTTGGAGCCGTCCAGAGCCAGGATGTTCCATAGCTTGGACACCTGTAACAGATGACCATCATTATAATGATACATGTTGATAGCTTAATAGCAAATGACTTTACTCAAAAACATATACAGACTATCATAGAGGGCGCCACTGGTTATACTTTGTTATAAACTTAACAATTATCAATTATTATATGTAGTAAAGAAACCAAAGATAAAAGAAATTTACCATATGAGTATTAAGAATCTTTGCCATAGTGTTTTTATCAATACTATTGTGTAAGCAATTAGTATCATTGCAGACTTCATCAAACAATGTCTCCATGGTTCGCTCATCATCGTCATTTCACATCAAAATAAACTTTAACAGTAGTTAGTATTTGGTCTAACCGATTTTCTAGCATCAGTATGTGTGGTCTATGAGAGATTCAATTCTCTCACAGACATTTAATATAGACTAAATTAATCATGTTTTTTCTTCTTATGCACATTTGTTCATATTCTTTTTCCCTCCCTAAGCCCTATTTTTCAAATCGTCTACCTTTAACTAGCTTTCAATAGCAAGTCTTCTGATATGTATTGTTTCCTGTCTAAAGCAGTACATAATCTCTTTTATCATTTCCTCTATGAAAAGGGTTGATAGAGAGATCTTTTAAGATATAAGTTATCCTTTGTGCATCTCATTTCTTTTATAATAATGTAACTAGTACTTTTGGTACATAAATAATTAAATAATAATTATACCTGAGCACATCTACACAGTGACACAACATCCAAGTAGGACAGTATTCGTAACAATAATTCCTTCGGTAGCTTCTTATTGATGTGGTTCTCGTCTTCACCGGAAAAACGAGAAATCTGAAATCGAAAATGTATCGTATTATTAAAAATGTATGGGAAATTCCTAAATCAATACATTAGAGAGAAATTATAGCATCAGTCTATAGGACTGACTAATTATAGTTATTTTCTGGTCTTGTGGCTTGTCGGCTCATTCAAAGATACATTGTCAAATAAAGAAAAAATAGTCAGTCCAATGTTCCAATGACTAATTCCAATATTATACTTAACAGGTTACTGTTTGAACATGTCTTGGTAAGGCAGTTTTTCTCTTTAATGTTGATAAAATTACTATTTGACATATTAATTTGCTTACTCTGTTTCAATGTAAAACAAAGACAGTACTGATAACGAAAACTTCATTAGACAAGGATATTCAAAGACACAAAATATGTCAGTTCTTCAAACAATCAAGATTTTTTTGACCGAGACAGGATGGTAGGTAGCACAATATTGTTAAAAGAAGAATATAAAATATTTAATTTTTATTTTCTTTGAAACATAAATGGATCAATTTACTTTTAAATAAATAACAGTGATATTATGAAAGAGAAGATGTCAGTAATCAATTTAAGGATTTTTTTTTATTCCCTAATTCTCTTTATCAGAACTGATTGCCGCTAATTACTTTGAATCTTAATGATATATTTACTATTTCATAATAAAAACATAAACTAGCAGTCATTAAAAATGAAATTGTATACATATAGTTGTATTTGAAATGTATTTTCTTAAATGTTATGGTTGTACCTGAAGTTTTGTATAGTCATTACATTGTAAGCCGATATATTATTATATTGGTTTCATATATTTTATGAATATTCTACTATAATATACTATGTACATACTATATAACATAATGTGTATAACATAGTGCATGTTTGTTGTGCTTCCACACAAAAATTACTGTACAGATGTTGATGAAACTTTAAAAAAACACAGCTAAGATTACAGACAGTAATTTTTTCGGGAATTCAAGAAAATTATATAACTTTTGTATTCTATATCTTAATATAGGCCTGAAACACACACTATACATGTCACTGATAGTTTGTGATCATAACCATTTTTTTAATAAATTTATTACATTAATTTTAACCCAATTCTGTAGGAAACACAGACAAAGTTGCACACAAAACTTAGTACTTTATGTATGTGATAAAAGAATATTGTACTGAATCATTAACTACTTATAGTCAATAACTGTACTTGAGATAATATTTAGACTGCTAGTTTAAATCTCCACAGTGTTAATTTTAGAACTTGGAAGATTATGTAAGGGAACAAACATAATAACACTTATACAAAAGTATTTTATAATAATAAATGAAAAAATATTTAAATTCATAGAAAAATATATTCAAAGATTGAATATATTATTGATTACCTGCATCTGGAGTTGAACTCTCTTCATAATGTCCCACATTATAAATAATTAATAAATATGAAGACACATAACACTTTTAATTTAAATGTATTAAACTTGTAAGAAAACTAGATAAAAATATTTGTGTTTTGTAAACATATTGAAACATTGTTATCTTAAATAATGATTAGCTTTTAACTGTGTGGTTGGAAAACTCAATTTATAAAAACCACAAATCACTATCACCACTCATTACTTTAAATCACAGATTTTAATTATTGTCAAAATGTTTTAATAATATTTTAAACTGCTGTACATATTATGATTCTTACATAATGAAGACATTTTTCTTTAAATAGCATTCTTATAAGAAAAATATATTTCGGTGGGGTGAAGGTCAGTAATTCGGCGATTCGTCTTTATAACGGTAATCATTATAAGTTGAGTGAACCCGCTGAGGGCATTACACTCGTACGTACTAACAACACACTTATTACAACAAATTAAACATATAATTAAAGGAATAACGCGTCAAATCAACACACGGAAACGTTTGTAAAAAAAAAACAAATGTTTAAAAATAGAACGTATTTAGTTAATGTCCCAGTCGTCTGTTTCAGTTCTGTATCTTTACAATCTATGCTAATCGATAGAATTGTTTATAATGCGAGTACATCGAGAACAAAGAAACGAACCAGCAACCTTGTCAGCTGTTTTGGATCAAATGAAAACACAAACAATGTCGCCGCGGATCGATCGGACTCACCTCGAATTTATTCCTTCCGGAATAGGTCATGCTGGGGAACGGCGTCACCTTAGCCACAATGATAAATTTATTACCCACAGAACATTAATTAATGAACACTTTTTGTGCTGCGTTTGTTTATTAGTTTTTATTTCGCCGACGACAATGGCCGTACACTGCAAGTGCCACTGCCAGGCACTTCGTACATTTATGTTGAACATGTTTCACGTTCGGAAATAATAACTGTGACAGTTATTGATAAGGATAATTTTTTTTTAAATTTATATTAATTTTGTGGCCATAATATATAAATAAAATAATATAATAGTTATATGCTTACTCGTAATATTTATTTATATACATTGTCATATAGAAAGTACGACATCTGTCAATAGTACGTTCACTGTTTCTGAACTGCTTCACACTGTCAATATTGAACGGAGTATTATGACAGCTGTAGGTGTCAAACTGAATGGCGGGAATAAATGTATATTTTGAAAATTATCTTTTTCGTCAAAAGTACATATAGATATAAATAAAAAGTATATTATTGTCAAATTCATTTATTTCATACATTTAGTCATACATTTTAAGCAACCGAGAAAAAAGAATATAATAATAAATGCAAAATAATTACAACTAGGACTCCCTAGAGTCAGAGAGTTGGAAAACAATGATAAACTTTTCGAGAAAGCTTTATTTAAATTTGCATTGTTTTTGTGTGTACCAACATAATACTAATGTTGAATGAATGGGTCCGCTATGGGATTATCGACTTTCTCGAAAGGATAGTAAGGATGTGTTTGCCAGAACGACGGAAAGGTGTAGCGGACCTTCTCATCGAATTTATTAATGCTTTCTATTTCTTCGTCGTTCAATTGAAAGTCGAATATATCGATGTTTTCCTTCAGACGCGAGTACTTGACTGTCTTAGTGATTGGAACAACCTTTCTGTCCACCTGATAACGAGAAAATAATTTATTTTAACTATACATATTTTATTTTCTTCCTATTGGTTATTGTTCGCCGCCATATTAGTTTAAGTCAGATAAAGTTACTTTTTATTATTATTATTAATGGATGATGATTTTATATGGAATTAACGATTTATTTGATTTAAAATGAGATATTTTTTAAAGTAAATTCAATGTTTATAATGTTTTAAATTAATTAGCATATCTCAAGTACGATTTTTGCTCGTCTATGAATTTTTCACTTCGTTTTATATCTTATATATAAAATTCTCGTGTCGCGGTGTTAGACAGAGAACTCCTCCGAAACGGCTGGACCGATTTTGATGAAATTTTATGAACATATCGAGTAAGTCTGAGAATCGGCTAACATCTATTTTTCATACCCCTAAGTCATAAGGGTTGTTCACCCTTAATTTTTTTACAATGTAGCATAAAAATACATACATGATACAACCCAACATTTTAACTTTTGCATAACAACGTTTGCCTTTTCACCTAGTGCGTGCGTGCGTGTGTGTGTGTGTGTGTGTGTTGTGTGTGTGCGCGTGTGTGTGTGTTCACTCACCAGCCACCTCAGCACGACCTGCGGCGTAGTCTTGTGGTGTGTGCGAGCGATGGCCGTGAGTACGGGATCGTTGATGGTGGGTCCGGGGAAGGTGTGTCCGTAGCGGCTCACCAGCGACCCGAACGGACTGAAAGCCATCACCACCAGCTGGTGGCGCTGAGCGAACTCTATTAACTCCGACTGGATTAGTTGAGGATGGATCTAGTGAACATGAGGATATTATTGAAGTACTTCATTTTTATAAGTACTAGTTTGATTTTTATGTCTTATTTACTAAACAAACAAACTCTCTCATTTACTGAATCGATGTCCACAATACAGGCCTAGCCTAGTGTGGACGTCAACGTTTTTATTGTATATTGCATTGTAAAGTTTTTACAAATGTATAAATGAAATAAATATGTAAATGAAAATAAATGAAATATCTCTGTGCATTTTAATGAGACTAAAAATATCTCTGTTAAATCTTACTAAGATAAATGACACAGGATTTAATGGTTGTTATAGAACATTTCTTGTTTTATTGTTAACATTAAGAAAAAATGATTTAGAACATGATTTAAAATTTTGTTAGTCGAGGAGGGACTATTATAGCTTGATCTTAAAACTTTATGTCCAGGTTAAACAGATACAGTTTCATATTACATAAAGTATAATCTAATTATAAAACAACCAATTAATAGCACAAAATTTACTATGAGTTGTTAGTGTTATTTCACCTTCAAGATTAGTTTTCCTTTGTCACATTAGTTTTCCTTTGTCACCCAAGTTATACGTGATTCAGAAGGACAATAATAATGAAACATGAAATAGTAAGCTATGTGAGGAAGGGGTCAGTGATTATATCTATATACTAGAAGACCTGGCGGACTTCATATCGCCCTATAATCAAGAAATATCTGTTACGTTTTTTTATTTATATTTTTGGAGTTTACCTGTAAGCCATAAATCTCCGTGTTTTGAAGTGCGACAGAATGATTGACATATAAATTAGTTGTCAAATCTAATGTCAAAAAAAAAACGTTTGTATCAACAACTACTAATAAATTAAAAAAAACATTGTCCTTGAACACACACCAAAAATTTCATCAAAATCGGTCCAGTCGTTTGAGAGAAGTTCAGTGACATACACACTCACAGAAGAATTATATATATAAAGATAATGATAGTAGGTGAGACCTCTATTTGCAGCACCACTGGTTTGATGGTACCCTCGGTGAGAACCCTTTGTATCTGTTGTTGGTTAAAGTTCGACAAGCCGATGTTCTTGGCCAGCCCGAGCCTCACTGCTTCCTCCAGCCCGCGCCATGTCTCCAAGTAGTCCACATCGGAATGCGTGTAGTTCTCCTAACAGGCGGATAAATACTTCACTTGTAATAACTAATCATCATCATCAGTCTATCAAAGCCCACTGCTGAGTCTCTTCCCACATGGAGAAGGTTCGAGCATTGATAACCACGCTCGCTCAAGAAGGGTTGGCGATTTCAAACTTGTAATATCAATGAGAAACTAAACGATTGTACGTCTGTCAGTGATTTTGGTGAAATTTAGCACACAGATACATTGTACACAATAGGAAATACATGCTTTTAAACCGATTCCAAAAAAAGGAGGTTCTGTATTTGACTCGGGGGTATAAAGGTGAACGTATTTTTATTAACTATTTATGGTATTTTGACGTGGTTTTCCCTATTGAATAACATACTTTTGTAGTGTAATATCAATTTTGAGAATAAACCATGAAATTGAACCAAAATAATTAGTCTAACAAATTATATGATAGGAGTTTAGTTCGTAGGTCAACAGATAGTGTATTAATGTACATACATTGAGTCCCATGGGCCAATGCATGAGGAACAGGTCGATGTAGGTCAGACCCATCTTACAGAGAGACTCCTTCAGAGATGGCACCACCTGCTGTCTCTGATGCTGAGTGTTCCATAACTACATATTATACAGAAAAAATGGATATAACACGGTCTGCACGTGAACACGGCTGATAAAAACTAATTGAAACGTCGGGAGTATGTAGTTACAATAATAAAGCACGCGTAGTATCTTCTACCTCGCAATTTCCCTTTAACCAGGGTCTGTCTTACATGTTGTGAATAGTTTTGGCTGATTGTTTTTACGTCAGCCGCCTGCCTGACATCAACCCTCTTTGGGAATGCATTAATCAGTGATGTCTAAATATTCTTAGAAAGTTGGTACATATGACTCGAAAAAATCACATTGGTACTTGCCAGGGCTGGGATCGAACCCGCACCCTCGTGCATGATAGGCGGGCCTTTTAACCACTACACCACCACTGACTTTAATATAGTACATCCCAAAAATATCAGTTTCTTACAGAATAACTATATCTAAACTGTAGGCTTTCAAAAACTAACAGTTTTTGGGGAAAAAAAGATGAAATGAAATTACGTAATGATTTTACTACAGTATATATACCTTATTAGTAATGAACAGTTCCTCCCTGCGCACCACTCCCTCCTCCATCTTCCCTCTAACTCCCTCCCCCAGTTCGTCCTCTGTGCCGTATATCTGTGCTGTGTCGAAGTGTCTGTAGCCCACGTCCACAGCTTGCATCACCACGTCCCTTAGCTGCTTGTTGATCGACTTCATCATTCCGTTCTACACACACACACACACATATACACACATATACACATACATGTAAAACATCAACTACCCTCTATATTTAGGATTTTTTTATTGTGTGATTCCCAGTTTAGAACTACCCTCAAATCATAATAAGTGTATATGAACCTATATGTACTAAACAAATTATTATTAAAATATTTTTCGCGCTTAACTTGGAGACAACAAATTAAAATTTAAAATATGCACAGATGCAGTCGAACCGTAGTTCAAAACCTTCTTATTCTAAAGTTGCATATGCAATCTTTCTTAATCCCTCTCGTCTTAATCACGAAAAACAAGGCCAATATAATTTAAACTCTATTTATATATACAGGGTGACTGGTGAATTACTATCAATATTTAAGGAGAATACTCGGTACATGATTCTCATTCGAATTATGTAAACAAAATAGGTACTTAATTTTTGACCAAATTTCCGTATAAATAAATAAAGCGTGAGCACGTTCCAAGTGTTCCAAGTGTGGCCGCGTGCAGCGGCGTGCTGATACAACACTACGCCGCTACACGCGTATGTGTGAGTGTGTGTGTATACCTAATCTGTAGGGTGTTCACACGATGCGTAATTAATTACATAACTTTTGGTTAACTTTACTTAGAAGTTTATTAATATTTATGTTATATTAATTTTTATCTTGTCATATATGATCGTTAAATATCACTCCTAAAGTATTGATAGTAATTCACCAGTCACCCTGTATATCAAAAAGATATGAGGTTCTCTTATGTCTGGTGAGTGTCACATATTTGTTTAACGATATTCTTAGAGATAGTAATCGTATTGATTACAAAATATATGCGTGGATATAATATTACAGTAAAATGAAAGGAATTAGGTACATGTTCCGTGACATTGTGTAGGACATACTTGATGTGGTTGGAAGAAAGGCAAAATGGTAGAAACTAATAATATATGAAAACAAGTTCTAATTGTATATACAACTATAGTAATTTTTAAATTAAGTATATTTTCTTTCTAAGTTATGTTTAATTTCTTTAAACAAACCTCGTCGTGCCCCAAGTAAGTCCCAAGAGCGATGGCGGGCATCTCGTTTCCATTATTGAGTATATATTTGGGAACATTCGCCGCAGCGAGGGTCATCTGTGAACAAATGTACTATCATCGGATCTTGATCATAAAAAAAACAAATATTATGATAACACACAGATAAATATCAAACAATATATTAATAAAGATAATTCTAATTATCTATAAACATTTGAAAAACATTAAAAATTAAATACATAACAATATAAATACTATATTTATAATAATACGTTACGTTTAATTTAATTACCATACATATTATTATTACCAAGTGCAAGGTGACGCACCGGCCACTGGCCAGTGAACACTTTCGCGCCATTTCTATGATTAATAATAATTTATTATGTTGGCATCACTGTACTTGTAGTGGCGATGAACTCGCGCGCGTCGGTTCGATGATAATAATATAAATAATAAATATGTTGTTAAAGTATTGTAATTGTGTTGTCTTATAGTGTGACATTGTTTTGTTTAAGGCACTGTATAGTCCAAATAGTTCAAACACGATATCCGCACTTGGCATACCAACATCGTCTTTACGCGTTGTCACTTATTTGTGTATGTGTGTTATTTGTGCAAATATGTCAATTAAGACGAATAAATCCTCCACACATGGTGTTATTTGTCCGAACAACAAATAAACGATGAGTGAAGTGCCACTAAAGTGAATATGTTGTTCTTACCACGGATTCTTAACACAACAACAGTTTTTACCGACGCGTCTCGTTCCGATACTAATGAGAGTAAGTGACTTGTTATAAGTTTAAAATATTGAAATCATTTTATTAATGAATCAATATCATATGAAAGCTTTGTATAAAATTTCATTAAATACTGTTTTTAATTAAAATATCTATATACAATATAATACGAGGCCATTCTCATTTCTTGTTAGTTTTTCCAAAGTAAGTTGAGGTAACTTTTTATCTATATATTTAAGTGATACATTATACACGTCGGTACATCACTTATTTCATATCATATATTTGTAAATACTCCAGCGACTATCAAGACTCAGTAAGATAAACAACGGTTAAGGAAAAATATTCATTAATTTTAAGTAATGCCTTAAAATGCAATAAAGAAACTTAGACCTCACTACTTAAAAGTCATAAAATCTATCCGCTTATGTTTTTCTTTAATTAAAAGCATAATAATAAAATTACCCTTTATATAGTATTGCACCATATATTTTATTGAAATAATTTCTGTATACGTGATTTTTCGGAATCATATGTACTTTCTAAGAGTATTTAGACATCACTGATTAATGTTGATTCCCAAAAGAGGTTTGATGTCAGGCAGGCGGCCGGTCGTAAAAACAAATAGCCAAAAACTATTCATAACATGTAAGGCAGACCCTGGCTATAGCTGGGAAATTGCCAGGTAGAATTTCTGTATAGAACGTCTACATTTTGTACTTGAAGACACTTAAAATAAATTATAACCATCTATTCAAGTATACTCGTATGCTTACCCTAAGTCTGAATAATTTCTAAAAACTTCGTACCTATAGTATTAACGGATTATTGTATGAGAAACGGGAGACGATACGTATGTAGTGACGATGCAAACACGTGGTAAGCTTCTGTTTGTCATTTAAAATAAGTAGTTATCATTAAACGATACAAATAAATATGTTGGGAATTTGAACATAACTATGAAGAAAAAATATTTTTACAAGTTTTGTCAGCCTCTGAAACTGATGGACCGGTTTCGAAAAGACTTTCATTGGAAGCCAGCTCAAAAAGTAAATTACGCTTTATTTCATCCGAATATACGTGTTTAAACTATAAATGAATTAATTTAAGATGTTATTTCCTGTTTTACTTATATAAATTATAAAAATAAGAATTTGTCCAAAGTCGAGGGTAGATCGAATTTTTATCAATACTTAGATGTAAGACTTTCGCGACTATTCATTTAAATAAAACTTATATTTTCGTATTACTACGAGTTGTTTTATTAATTCACACAACACACTACCATTCATTTAAATAGTAACAGTTATAATTGTTAATCATATTTGGAAATAATTTTTCGATTTTGTCCGGACTTTCGCGAGTATTAATTTAAATAATACTAATATTTTCCGATTACTACGCTTTGTTTTAATTATTTTCGACTACATTCCCGTTTATTTAAATAACAATACTTTAATTGTTCGTTATAATTTGAAACAATGCTTCTACTTGGTCTGGAACTTTGACTCGGTGTCGGCATTTGTAACGCGAAATCAATTAATTTTATTAACCATGATAATTCTACATTAATTATTAATATACCACATCACTCACCCTTGAAAACTTCATGATTTTGGTGAAAAACATTGTAAAATAAAGAAACAGGTCACTTAGCTGGCTGGCGGACGAAAGGTGAAATGAATTACGAAAATGTGTTTGCTGTCAGAACTACCGCCATCACAGAAATATTAGATAGATAATTAATTACTTAAATTAACTATCATTGTTACATATATAATAATATAAATTATTAAAACAATTTCGATAACTAAAAAATATAATAAAAATAGTATTCCAATTGATTTATTTCTAATTAATTTTATACTAGGCTTATTTTACTTTCTCTAAGATCATCTTTCTCGCTCTCTCATTGTTTCTCTCTCTGTCGTTTTTATAAATGTAATATTGTTTTCAAACTCAACGGACGCATACATAAGTCCAAATAAAGATGACGGAAATATTAATCGATATTACAAATTAAACGAAATTATTACAAACAGGAAACAAGATAATATAATAATAATATACTTAATATGTGAAAAATATTAATGTTTAATTAGTATACTTTTAATTACTTTTAAATATTATATCTTAGACTGGAGTACGAGAATATATGTATATATAAACTTTTTTATTAAAGACTTATAATTATTTCATACACAAAATGGGTACATTATACATATATAAATAATAAATGTTGTTAAAATTCTTACCATCGAAAATATAATGAGTCCTATTATCCCGGGGTCAGCCATTTTGTGTTGTTGGTTACAAAGTGAACACAATGACATGTTCCCAATATATATATTGTGTCTACCGTCCAGTCCTTACGACGTTAAAACCGTTATAATTAAGGGATACGTTCAATTTAATTAATTATGACAGAAAGATAAGTCGCATAAATATTATATATTACAGTTCCAAGAAAACGCCGCGAATCTCAAACATAAGGAATATTTTTAAGGATTTCGAATGTTCTTTAAAACTTTTTAGTTAAACTTTAATTGTCTTGCGTTAAAACTGTATATATTGTTTATGTTATATAATAAATATGTTAAAAATATTAATATGACTGCTGTAAGTCTGATATTCATAACGAGACGAGATAAGAAATGATAAAAGGTTACAAATTAAATGATTGTAGTACAGCTGTAAAAATATAGTTTCATTGATAACTATATATAAATAAAACTTTACGTTATTAAGATCTGTCATTAGTAATAGATTCATTAAATAAAAAGTGATTATTAAATACATTCCTTAAAAGTAAGCTGCGTTACTTTTTACTACTTGAAATGCTACAGTTTTTAGGCTTTTTTTATAGAACAGGCATTTTCTGATATACGGGGCTAATACCCCAGTACAAGTTTGTGGGGTCACTACCAAGCGTGGTGAAAGGATTTTCACGACGTATCTAGTAAAGTACCAATAATAATGAATAATTGATAGCACATTCTTTGAATTCAGTGGAACTTGGACTACTTTAATTACAATAATTTTTATTATTATCTAAATAATAAAAAAAAATTAACGGAAATAACAAATTTTTCTTTAAGCGTTTTAACAGTTTTGATGATTCTGCAATGAAATAATACGAGAGAAATCTTAAAGGAAAGTGTTTTTGTACATATTTAAAATATAAATTTGTATCATTTCAATAATGTCTATGACTTTTAAAGGACCTTGTAGTTAACTGAATTATCTGTTTTTCTGAACAGTTCTGAGTGAGCTAGAGAACTGTTATTTATTTTTCAGTGATACCCTTGAGGCAGTAACTTTATCGAAACGTTATTAAAAAACCCACATAATAAAATGAAATGATGTTACTTACGTAACCGGGGAATAAGTTTATAGTATAACAATTGTATAAAGTACGGAATGCTGACTCTGAGCCATCGGTGGGACTGGGAAAGTGAAGTGGACACCACACGCCTTGCACCATCGGTGAGAATGAAGAATGGGATTTTTACATATATTCAGTCTGGAGATTGACTCCACTCCATTGTCCCGTTGACTTAAAGACTCCTCTTTATCATGTACTTCAATATAAGTCTATAATTGTGAAATTGAATATATTTTATAAGTAAAACAGATTTTTCTTGCATCATTCGCTGCCACCAAACGTTTTCATTATAAAATCATTCGAGTTTTACCGGCCGCCAGTGTCGTCGCGAATTTGACTAATTGACAAATAAATTGACAAAAAAATGAGTTATAAATATGTATAAGTAATTTCCTATTACAGTATCAACTAAGTTTACTTGAATCTTTCTTATCGTAACACTTTTTACTAATGTGGGTACACATTAAAATATATCAATGCATTTCTCAACAAATTGTATTAATGTGTGAAGTAAAGGGTTTTTTTTTGTTTTCCCAGGGGAAATCTGCTCACAGATACCTGGCCGAGCGGGGACTTGACCGGGTTATGTGGGGTTTCGACCCACTAAAACCCCTGGGTGTTCCTCATCCACGCCACCTAGGCAGGGCCACGGTATATCGAGTGCTTGCCTCGCGACCCTGCCGGGGCTAGTCCACTCCGGACCTCGAACTAGTTGGGATAAATCCCCCGCAAACCACCACCACGAGTCGCCCTTGGAACAAGAGAGACTAGCACCGCACTCATCCTATGAAGTAAAGGGTACACACATAGTTATTATATATTTAATAATTTAAATTACTAATATTATTTAGTTACATTAATTACTATACCTTATAATTAATTTTAGTTTGTTCAAATAATGAGATAAAGGCTTTCGCGAGTATTCATTCAAATGAAACTAATATTTTTCGGATGTACTACGCTGTAAAGTAGCCGAAACTTCGGGTGAATGTAGTTTTTTATCAAAAATAAAATAGCATAATATTATAGGAAAATATTAGTTTCATTTAGTCTGTTCAGATTTTTCGTAGCACTGCATATTTATTAATTTGATACAATCAAACATTTTATTCGGACGTAACATATCCCTAATAATATTATAAATGGGAAAGTAACTCTGTCTGTCTGTTACTGTTTCACGCCTAAACCACTGAACTGATTTTAATGAAATTAGGTACAGATATAGAGTTGACCTTGAAAAAGAACATAGGATAGATTTTATCCCAGACTTTTGAAAGGTTCTCTTGGAAACGCGATATAACTAAACTCCACGGGGCGAAGCTGTGGGCGGAAAGCTAGTATGCTTATATATATAAATACTTTGCTTTGATACATTATGTACATTGCTCAAAAGATGAAAATTTTTCTATCTAAGATCTTATGTTAATACGATAACTTAAAAAGTGATTATGCTTTTTTGGAAGATAAATTAAGAAATGATTAATATTGATACAGTTTTTGATCTCATTAATTTCCTCTTGTGTATTCATTGTTTTTCATAGTAACGATAATAATATATTGAAATACCGACATATTTTGGTTTTCACATACAAATTAAGATTTTAGTATCACTACTTGTATCTTCTATCTAGTATCTTCTATCGTTCTCAGTACATAAACTTTTCTACATCTTCATCTTTTCGTACTTTATTTAATCCATTCTTGAACCAAACATATTTGAAGTTCAAGATTATTTTTTAATTTCTTCTTAGCATTCCAGAATATTTTCTTGTTCATTTTAGTCATAGCACACTGTATTGTGATTTTTCTGTGATGGGTTAATATCTTATTCTTTAATTTTCTCCCTCTTAGCTGCTGTTAACCAATTTTGCTATGTGAGTTCATCTTTGAGTTCAACTTTTATGTTTGCAGTATCTTCTAATTTGAAGTCGTTGTACATTTTGTATTCCATCCGCTCTTACTTTGTTAGTTTTAAAGCGATCTTTTCTACTTTATAGTATCCTCATTATTATTGTGAGGCGTATTTGTAATTTCGATTGATGATGATGATTTCTCCTGTCCCATTTCCCATAAACGTGGTTCAACTGCTCCCAGACGTGTTTCTAAATTATTGTTTTTATTTGTATTACGTAGGACGGCAACCGGAGGTTCCAGGAAAACTACGAAACTTACTTATATGTATATTATAATACGAATTACATGTTAAAACTTATAACCTACACCTAAGACTACATGATTGACCCGATGTTATGATAGCAATACCATTCCATAGCTTGTGTGGTATCAGGAATCTTCTGGTTCACACGGCTTGGTGTTCCAACAATATTACATTTTTTAATTTAGAAATAAGTTTTGTGAACACAACAACCTCGTAATCCTTTATATCAATATACTTTCCTTCAATTTATGTATACGTTCCTTATTCTATGTCATTTTTATAATGTGCGAAGATTTATGAATGAAAACTGTTAACGCTCTGAAAATAGTGTAACCTACACTCAAGGTCGAGCTTAGTTTGTGCCAAATTTTATATGAATAGGTACTAGTTTTTGACCGCGACTTCGCTGGAGTTAGTATCAGAATTAGAAATGTATAGCTGACCGGGCGATCTATTTTGCTTTTAGGGCAGTAAATAAACTGATTTTAGATTTTATGAACTTTTTTTTTTTGTCGAGTGGTCTGAAAAGTATCCTATGTACGTCTCCTGGTTGTAATCTATCTCTCCACCAATGTTCAACCATATTCTTACAGCCGTTCTTGAGTCATAAATAATGTTACTAACACGACTTTCTTTTATATGTATAGATAGATGAACCTGTCTCATATAATTATTTATTATTTGAATGACTTATTATTTTATGTAATGGTCTCCAATCTACAGGAACTTCTAATAAAAGACAATTATTGTCTTCATGTTTAATTGTATACCTATAAATAAAAAAATATTGAATATAAATTAACAGTAAATAAAAAGCTTTACGTAGCTCGTTTAAATGTTGTACCAAAATATCAAAAGACATTTTGAATCATTGATTTTTTTACATATATTAAATTTAATATTTTTAAAAACTTATTAGAAAAAAATATATAACTTTACAAAACAAATTTCATTAAAATCAGTTCAGTGGTTTAGCCGTGAAAGAGTAACACACAGACAGACAGAGTTACTTTCGCATTTATAATATTAGTCGAGATTTAGCCAGTAATAAATGAAAATTATATTATTTTAAGTACACTTAAAAGCTATATCTACCTAAATTGAAATAAATATTTTATAACAAAGGATTTCTAATGTAATTGGCATTGGCAGACCCTGGCTAAAGCTGGAAAATTGCCAGGAAGAAGAAAGCATTTCTAATGTAAATTAATTTATAATTATATATATTTGAATGGTTTTAGATCAGCTCATGTGAAGGATGGAGTAGCCGTCGTTAGATTCCTCCGCTGGGTCCACGAGCTGGTGGATTCAGGAGCTAATGTCACGGAGAGAAATGTGGTCGATAAATTGGACGAAATTAGAAGGTAATTTTTATTTATATTGCTTATTTTATCAGCTATATTTAATAATTTAATTAAATTTATACTGCCATATAAGCTAAATTCTCGTATTTTCTAAGTATTCCTAAAGAAAATATGTTATATTTGTATCTATGAATGGCTTTATGTCATTGGATATTAGGTTTTATAGAAAATGTTGTTAACCGTTTTTTTTCATTTAAAAGCAAATTTAACAAAACAATTAAAGTATGAAAATTAATATTTTAAGATTTACGCGTTTTTTATTATTTTATCTACATACTCCCAACGTTTCGGTTACTTTTCAGCAACCGTGTTTGGTTTTCATGAACGGGTTGAACATCAAATAGATCTCTTCATCTGACAAACCTTTCTAGTGAAGTTTATTCCGACTTAATTAATTTCAATTAATATATTACTTATTATAATTTGTAACATCATTCAACATGTTTCAGTACAGGAGGAGCGTACGATCATTTCATTATCTCGATGTCCGCGGCTAGTTTTCTATTGTCGAGTTATTTTTTATGTAAAACGTGAACAATCATAAAACGTGGTTCTTGAGAAGTTTTTTAGTAAAGAGCCGGACGTACTCATGGTTTGTTTTCAAACAAACTTGTTTTGCTCTCCAGATACGAAGTACACTCGGCTAAATCAATTCCTATAACAATTATTATTTAAAGCCTTAATTCCTCCTTCGTATTATACTTACTTTTTATTTATATAAGTCACACGTTTCAAGGAATGTTATAAAACACGAGACTAAGTAATTCCTCTGTGAAAGGTAGCCATAGCATTTTTCCCGCGACTTCTTACCATTAGATTTTTCAATTTGGTTCAGAGATAAAATATTAAAAATGCTAAAATCCATAAAGAACAACACAGTTTTTATATTATTCTTGCACATGGCCTATGTTATTATAACGTTTCATATAATAGTTTTTGCTCCTAAGCCTAAAGTTTCAATTCCGATCTTATATGCAAACTTGGAGATTGTAGGAATAATCAATAATTTAAATCTATGAAATGTGTAAAAACATTCGCTTAAAACAAAATTGGGACACTAACAAACAAAACTTTAAGGGGTTTCTTTTGACTCATTTTGAGAGAGTTTAATTTCTTATTAATCGTTTGAAGTCAGGGATGGGGAAAGAGGAAGATTAGGATATCTTCACATAGTTACTGCACTCCTCTCCGAGCTGCAATTATTTGACTCAGTTATAGATTTTATATTGTAAAAGCTAACTAAATATTTAGTATAAAAATAACTGCAGCAGTTTTAATATACGATATCGCTGAAAATAATCTTATCCAAGAAAATATAAAAGAAGGATCAAAATTGTTTTACAGAAAAATCAATAATTTTAGTATAAGATTCTGAAAGAAAATATTACTGAGGCTATAATGTGCACGGGCATGAGATTTATATCTGTAAGTATAAGGAAGTACTGCTTATATGAAAGTAGAATCTCGGATAAACACTTCATCATTCGACTGTACTGTTCGTGGAGAGTGTTACAGTTTATCAAATATTAATTTCTATCTCAATCACTCCACACAGCGTCCTCGGAGCTCCACGAACATGACATCGGTGTAACATATCTTATAATAATATTGAAATGATCATTTTAATCGTGTGTTCGATGGCCGTCGCCTCATCATCAGCGAGCACCGCCACTGAGTCTTATAAAGATCAATGTGAGTAAAAAAACTATTATAATAAGTACATATACTGCGTGGATATTTAAAGAACGTCAGTGGTGGCTCAGTGGTTAAAGGGCCCGCCTCTCGTCGCCGAGGGCGCGGGTTCGATCCTGGCCCGGGCAAGTACCAATGTGATTTTTCCGAATCATATGTACTTTCTAATAGTATTTAGATATCACTGATTAATGTTGATTCCCAAAAGAGGGTTGATGTCAGGCAGGCGGCCGGTCGTAAAAACAATTAGCCAAAAACTATTCACAACATGTAAGGCAGACCCTGGCTGTAGCTGGGAAATTGCCAGGTAGAAGAAGAAGATATTTAAAGAACGATTAATGTACTGGCAATAAAACTTTTGATATATATAAAACAATTTGTAGAGTACACAGTAGCAAAGAATATAAAGCAGGTAACAGTGTGTCGTCGTTCTGGCCTAGTGGTTAAGGGCTCGCCTCTCGTGCATGAGAGCGCGGGTTCGAAACCTGGCAAATATATCAATGGGATTTTTCCGAGTCATATGTACTTTCTGAAAGTATATAGGGGAAAGCAAACATCGTGAGGAAACCTGAACTTATAATTTACAATTATAAGTTTGAAATCACCAACCCGTCTTGAGCGAGCGTGGTGATTAATGCTCAAACCTTCTGCATGTGAGAAGATGCTTTTGCTGTGCAGTAGGTTCTAACAGGCTGATGATTATGAACCGAGTTTCATCAATTGATAAAATCACGTTTAAGAACACAAAGAAATGTAATTATTTAGACAAACGTTTAGCAAGTGCAGGAGTTTGTAAGAAATGAAACAGAATTTTATTGTATTTGGTAACTAAGTTCATATATGTATTGTAAGTAGCTGAAGATGTTTGTCTGTCTGTGTAGTCTGCACGGATCCTCGCACCATGGAGAAGTACGAGGCGTACACGGAGTGGGCGGACGCGTACTCCTGCTCCAGACATAGGTGCCAGCCGGGAGGCAGGAACCTGGCTATATATACTGTAGGGTATGTGACACAATGAATAATTAATAAGATAATGTTCCATAAATATTGAATTAAATTAAACTAAGTAGTTTAAATAACTGAGCTAAATATGATAAATTCAACGTCTTTTACAATAAGAAATAGAAGGTGTTTAACAAGTCTCTGATAATTTTGATTGAGTGAAATTTTGCAAGTCTTTAAAGAAAACGTAAAAAATATCTGTTCTCTCTGACCAGAAGGTGAAGTCTTTAGTTTATTCAAACCTTATCTTGCCTCCGTATACCTTACAGATTTTATTTTAGAAGACATGACTTTACGTTTATCTACGTTCCCTAGTGAAACTTTACTTAATGAATCGTCAGTTGCTTATTATCCTGGTCAGTTAATGATTGCTCGTTGTTCAGATGTAAGCGAGTAGAGGCGCCGGAGTCAGCTATAGAGTGCGAGGAAGTGGTCGAGGATACCAACATGCAGTTCCCGTACTGCTGCACCAGACTCAGGTTAGTACTAGATTAATGAAAAATAACTTATCATCGTTTATATATATACAAGAATATTATCATTCTACGAATTATATGGGAAAGAACAAGTTATTTGTTAAAGAAATCTCTATTTAAAGATCAATGTCCTTCCAAAGTCATAATCAATTTGTGTTGTTTTCTTTCTTTAATTACATATTATAATTTCCATGGAAGAAAGCATATGATTTTAAAGACGAATTAATATTATGTAACCTAAGTAACCATAGTAGCATATATTATATACTAAATTTTGCCAACGATTTCGTAAATTTGAACAAGGATTGTATGAATTATGTTAAAACAGAACTCGCAATCCACCGTCTGCGACATTTTCAATCATCAAATATACAAGTGTTGTATCTTAGTCTTAATGTAATAAATGTAACGTTTTATTGAATTCAGTTTAACAGTTTTTACTTTAAAGAACATCAAACATTACAATATTTCGTATTTATAATATGAGTAGTATTACCATTTTAATATTATATCTACGCGCAGGTTATTGTTCTGTGTAGTAGATAGATATCTTATAATAACTCGTTTAAATGTTCTTATTACAAGGTAAGTGATACTTTAGTACTTAATTGCAAAAATGAAATCATATGTGTTATTATAGTTGTATACAAAACTCTACTTTAATCAATTATTATTTTACAAGTTCCTCATTTTCCGAATCTGAAATAAGTTGTTTCGTTGCAATATTAAATTAAACAAACAATTTCAACTATTTTAGACTTAATTTACTGCTTATTTACTTAGTCTTAGTTATAATAAAATCCATTAATTGTGTAAAATTTAAAACAACTGTATAAAATAACATTCTATAAAGCCACAGAAATTGAAATATTCCGAACTTGGGTTGAGGCTTCATGGAAGATAAATTTATTAATAAATGTTGAAAAAACTATTTTCTTTTTGCTCCAAAATACTTGAAGAATTACATATCTTCCTTGTCACTATTTAATTTGACAGTTGGATGTATGTAGACACACTAGTATATTCGATGCCTTTATTTTAAATTTTTACATTGTAATAGTTTATCCAAGTTGTTAAAACGATTAGTTACTAACTAAGTAACTTACTCTACAAATCTTATAATTTAGAGAACTTAATTAAATGAAACTAATATTTTCTAATCACGGACAGACGAGATGTGGTCTCGTTTGATGAAAAGTAACCGAAACGTCGTACGTAGTTTTTACAATAATAAAAAACGCGTAATATATACGAAGAATATTAAATTTATTATTATTAAATAAAACTCGTTAAAGTCTTAGATCTCATTATTTGGAGAACTTGATTATAATATATGAAATCCAATGATATGTTCAGAACCAAAATTAGTTGCTGAATCTATAGTTTTATGCTAGTCAGATCTTAGTTTTGTTCCTTGTGTTATTAGATGTCTGGTTGTGGTCCGTGGCGAAGTATGGACGAGGGTGTTGGGTCAGCCTTGGGAGACTCTCCCGGCCGCGCCCTGGAGCCACATGTATAAGATGAAGAAACCTCCGCCCGCTGACAACACCTTCGCTAAGTTAGTTTATTAAAACAAGTACTTGTCCTTGACTTGATCAAAAAATGGTCCAACTTCTTAGTAAATTTACTGATATCATGTGATGAGGGGATGAGTAAGATATACGAACACTAAGTGCTTATATATGTATATTATTGTAATGAACTACATATATCTAGATAAATCTTCTGGCCTTTGATAACTACCCTTCATCATCAGATCTCAATATAATCATACTATTATTATATTACAGAGATTAGAACGCACTTTTGCGCTTTATTTAAAACTAGCTGCGCCCCGCGGTGTTACTTGCGGATTTCCGGGATTTAAAGTAGCCTATGTGTTATTCCTGAACCTCAGCTTCCCGTATACAAAATTTTATCAAAATCACTTCAGCAGTTTAAGCGTGAAGAAGTAACAAACATACACACACACTCACAAACTTTCGCAATTATAATATTAGTAGGATTATTGTAATGAACTATATCTAGATAAATGGCCTTTGATGAATACTCATCATCATCAGATCTCAATACAATCATACTATTATAACATTAACAACACATTTCATACTATTTTAATACATATTACTACGATTAGAACGCACTTTTGCGCTTTATTTAAAACTAGCTGCGCCCCGCGGTGTTACCCGCGGATGACCGGGATGTAAAGTAGCCTATGTGTTATTCCTGGACGTCAGCTTCCTGTTCGGTTCAGCCGTTTGAGCGTGAAGAAGTGACAAACATACACACACACACACAAACTTTCGCAATTATAATATTAGTAGGATATCTGCAGACATCATCATCCAGTAATAAATATGTTTGAAGGTCGGCGGGTCCAGGTCCTATATACGAGCTTGCATCAGAACCAGACGCGGGTCCTCATGAGAAGATGCTGAGGTCACAGAAACAAGGGACGCCCGCCCCGGACTGTGTGGAGGCCGTGCCGAGAGTGGCGCCCTCACCCGACATCGTGGTGAGATTAGACACTAATTAATCTACCTTTGAAAAGTTATATAATATACTAGAAGACCCGGCGAACTTCGTATCGCCCTATAATCAACAAATATCTATTACGTTTTTTTATTTTTATTTTTGGAGTTTACCTATTAAAGCCATAAATCTCCGTGTTTTGAAGTGCGACAGAATGATTGACATATTAGTTACTTGTCAAATCTAATGTCAAAAAAAGAAACGTTTGTATCAACAACTACTAATAAATTAAAAATTAATTTTAAAAACATTGTCCAGCGAACAAAATTGTGAATCAACCATTCCCAGATCCCCTTGAACACACACAAAAAAATTCATCAAAGTCGGTTTAATCGTTTGAGAGAAGTTTAGTGACATACACACTCACAGAAGAATTATATATATAAAGATATGAAAAAACTAAGTGCTATTTTAAGGAATGTTAATATAATTTTATTAGAAGGTTACTAAAATATACTGTATTTGTTCGTAGATAGCTCTAGCAACAAACAATGAAGAAAAAGAACATAAGAAAACTAAAAGTACGAGGTGAGAGTCTTATACTTTAACACTTTGACAGTTTCAAAGATTTTTGTGATAAATTTAATTTAGATAATTTATGGTATTCTTTAAAATAAATTCTTATGAAGTTCCATACCTTCAAATGTTTCTTTTTTCATGCAAAAATATAAAGAAAGTCTAATGAAACGAATGAATATACAAAAACAGACTGGTTTATTATTCTATTCATAACAATTGTTACACATTTAGCAGCAGAGATGGCGCTACTAGTATTTAAATGACACATATTTTGACAGATCTAGCAGTAGGTCAAGTTTATTCATCTTACAAACAGTCTCAGTAATGTTATAATAGCAGTGAATTGTTTATAATAATTTCAGACATAAGAGAGTTAAGAAACTTCCGAATACTTTCGAGGTTGAGGCGGACAGAGAACACAATGAAGTTGATTTTGAAGACTCGCCTCTCTTGGATAAGGTGAGACATTTCACATCATACATGAGCCATGAGCCAACAGTTGTGTTATATTATAACATAATGCTTCTTCTTACCTTATGCTCATAGTTATAGTCTAGTATACAGTAAGAAATAATTATTTATCATTTATTTTATTTACATAGAACGATATGACACTAAAATATGAGAGAGGACATTGATTTCTGTAATACTTTGAGCCTAGCTCAGAAATCAGGGACTTCATTATACATAGTAACTTTTCTTATTATTATTATTATAGTTAAGTATTGAAACAGTCTGCATCTGAGTTTTTTTCACGTACATTTTGGGTGTCTTCAAGATTTTTTTACTGAGATAGTCCATTTATCACGCATGGCTCGTCAGCCGTCGCGTTGAATGATAGTCAAGTAACTCCAGACGTATTAAAGAATTTAAATGAAACTAATATTATTTGGATTACTACGTGTACTTTATACTCCTCGCGTATTATATTATTTATTTATTTATCTAATTATTTATTAAACAAGCCTGAAAAATTTACAACAAAAATGTGACACGGGAAAAATGAGTTTAAAAGGTATATTTGTTTAATTTATATGAATACTCCCGAAAGACTAAGACATCATTAGTATTAAAGAATGTTTTCGTAAAGCATACATTATTTATAGTTAATAGAGAAAAAACTATTTTATATACAGAGAAACTTTTTATAATGCAGGTTTCATACTATTAATATACAAAGAAATAGTGCGTATTGAAACTTGTGCCCCGTTATACCACTTCAGTTGCCTTTAATATCTAATGATTGTTCCAGAATGTCGATGGTTCTGATGAGAAGTCCGGCTCTTACGTCACACAGAAGAACGCAGCCAAGGTACCTCATACTATCATGTATTTAAAAATTTTGCTTAGAAATATTTGGAGTTACATTAATTCTTTCAGATTTCAACCGTATCTTAATAGTCGAGTCTTTATTAAAGTTAATATATATATATATATATATATTTACATATACATGTCTATAATGATATATTTACATTATACATGTGATATGATATGATATGATATGATATACTTACATTATACATATGTCTCTATGTTTCCAGTCATCATGGACGGATATTCCTTCAAACCAGTGGACCGAACACGATCCTTCAGTGGACGTTGAAGTTAACCAAGTGAGAACAAACATTTACACATTAGATTACACTTAAATGACATTATTCCTTTCATTATGATGCTTACTATCTTGTAATGATGATTAATCAGCCGAAACTATCTATAACATGTTGGCAGACCCTGGCTAAAGCTGGGAAATTGCCAGGAAGGTTATGTTCTTATATGTTTAATATGTGACAGCCTTCAGAGGAGAAGGAGAAGCCGGCCCTGCAGGCGCTGGTGGACGCGATCGGTAACAGAATGAGGGACATAGAGAGTGTGGTGCAGAGGATGAGCGAGAAGGTGCACACGGTGGACGAGGTGGGCAGCGGGGAGAGGAGGTAAAGTATAGAACGTTCTAGAACATTCTAGAGTTGGTATGAATGAGCTTCTAGAACATTCCAGAATTAGTAGTATTAAGTTTCTAGAACATTCCAGAATTAGTAGGATTAAGTTTCTAGAACATTCCAGAATTAGTAGGATTAAGCTTCTAGAACATTCATGAATTAGTAGTAATGAGCTTCTAGAACATTCTAGAATTAGTAGGAATGAGCCTCTAGAAAATAACATATTTGTGAGGTCATGTTGTGTTTACTGTACGGTGGTTATTGGTTTATTTCCGGGATTTACGGCATGTAAAGTAGCCTATGTGTTCTTCCTGGACGTCAGCTTCATGTATACAACATTTTATCAAAATCTGTTCAGCTGTTTGAGCGTGAAGAAGTAACAAACGTACACACACACTCACAAACCTTCGCAATTATAATATTAGTAGGATGACATCAAAATTAATAGACTTATATAAATCCTTCTGCTTGTAAATTTTTAAATTCTTCCTTGATTAGTTTAAATTGTTAAAGAATTCAAAAAGATATATAAAGATAATTGTTGTAATATTAATCAGGTCTGAAGTCGATCAGCCTCGCAAACATCACAAACAGACTGAGAACAAGGAACCGAAGGAACCGGCCAAACAGAAGAAACCGAACGCGGACAATGACAACTATAAGAGGTAATGATAATAATAATAATAATAATTTATTTCAGACCATACTGTAGATCCATATAGTGTTAGCACAAATTAAACTTAATAAATGAATTGGTTAGTAAATTTACAAGAGAAATGACTTAAAACGTAATGACTTTACGGGTTTATTGTAATTTTACTAAAAACCTCCGATGTGACTTGCAAGTTACAAAGCATTTCCTTCACTCGTCTCTAATCATTGACAAAGACGGAGTCTGCTGGTGTCACACAAAAATAAGGTAAATATCAACGACCTTGAGTACCACTGAAAGATTTCGAGCTCCTTATAAACGAACTTGAATAATGTACTTCAGAATCCTAAAGATTATCTAGTCTCCCGCTTTGAATAGGTTCATGTCAAAACCGCGATTATATAGACATACATAACGTTAAGATTTGAACTATGTGTTGGTCCTAAAAGTAGACGAGCGTTGCGTTGATCTATAAAAATCAATTTTGAGTTTAATGTTCGTGAACATGGTTTTTTTCCCAAGTTTTAAACCTGCAAGTCACACAATGTACATGGTCCAGCTCTCCACATACATAGTCAAAGTTTTTTATGTCGTCACCAGCATTTAATATTAACTTTCGTTCTATATTTTATATACATTAAACTCCGACAAAATAAAACTTTATTAATGTGTTGAAATATAAATAAATGAAAGATCTAATTAACTAAAAGTCGACTCGTATTTCTTTAATGGATGGTATTCATCAAAAAACTATATAATAAAAGAGGATATTTCATATCGTATTGGTTTGCAGCCATAGCGTCCAGGATTACAATCCCTACTAATATTATAAATGCGAAAGTAACTCTGTCTGTCTGTCTGTTACGCTTTCGCGCCTAAACCACTGAACTGATTTTAATGAAATTTGGTACAGACATAGAGTTGACCTTGAGAAAGAACATAGAATAGTTTTTATCTGAGACTTTTGAAAGGTTCTCTTGGAAACGCGATGTAACCTAACTCCACGCGGGCGAGGCTGCGGGCGGAAAGCTAGTTATTTATATATTATTATGTACAGTAGTATAAACATCATGTCATCATCTAAATACGAAACGTTTTCCATATCTAATTCATTATCTTACCTCAATACATAGTGCAAAGATTTATAAATAAAACTCAAACTCAAATTACTTTATTCAATATAGAAGCATTACACTTTCTTATTGATGGTCACTTGAGACTCTACCACTAAAAACTATGAATGCTCCTTATCTATACTAATATTATAAAGCTGAAGAGTTTGTTTGTTTGTTTGTTTGTTTGAAAGCGCTAATCTCCGAAACTACTGGTTCGAATTGAATAATTCTTTTTGTGTTGAATAGTGCAGTTATTGAGGAAGGCTGTAGGCTATATAACATCACGCTACGACCAATAGGAGCAAAGATATAGTGGTAAATGTGTAAAAAACGGGAGAAATTATTTCATCTTTGAAGCCTTCCTGAAAAATATGTATTAAAGAATAATAGCTCTTTTAATGATCTAAAAAACAGTCCGCGACAGTATATGTCTATCTTTTAAGATAAACTCACAAAAACCGTTTTTATAGTACCTAATTTGGTCGAAATAATTTGTTTAAGTTGTATCAACATAATAATATTAATCTTTATTCAAATAAACAAATAAATATGTTGTTGGTTAAGAGTACTTCATTGTGAATAAAAAAAACATAGGTTTTATCCTGAAAACTCTACGGCAAGTGGCAACTCGACCATTCCGAATACCCCGCAAGAACGGGAACTATGTGGAAATAACCAAAAATCTGCCAGAAATCACTATTCCACGCGGACGAAGTCGCGGCAAAAGCTAGTGTGCTAATATAAAGTTACACTAAGTCCACATTTCTGTTCATGTTTCATCATATTCCCTTATTATTCCTTGATATCAGGTTCTCAGTAAAGAACCGCAGCAAGTACCTCCACCCATCGGAGTCGAGCACGGACCGGCCTCTGTTCGTGGAAGACGCCGACATGAACGGGTACTTCAGTGACGCGAGCAACGGACTCGTCAGGCGAGCCGGACAACACAAGGTAGCAATAACAAATAAATAAATTAAAATATTTCTTAGCTTATCAAATGTTTTCAATAACAAAAATATTTAAAAGACTTTAAAGTTATTGTCATTTTTTTTAAGAATTTTTAAGTTTTACAGCAGTTTCCTTATAGTAAGTTTATTATCAAATGGATTTCTTTAAATGTATTAAACCATTCAAATCATAATTTTATTGCTTTGTAAAATGATCGTAGTGTAATAGTTCTTAATCGTTCTGGTGATATAAATAGTAAATATTGAAATGTAAAGAAATATTAAGAACGAGAAATTTACTGAGTGACGAAATGAAATGTGTCATGCTTGATAATTTTTGTTTGAAAGACAAAATCAAAGGAGACAACTTAACGTTTATAGGTATCTACAACATACAATCATATACAGGGTGACTGGTGAATTACTATCGATATTTGAGGACGTGATATTTGACGATCATAAAAATCAAAATAAAAATTAATATAACATAAATATTAATAAACTTCTAAGTAAAGTTAACCAAAAGTTGTGTAATTAATTACGCATCGTATGAACACCCTACAGATTAGGTATACACTCACACTCACACATACGCGGACGGCGGCATAGTGTTGTATCAGCACGCCGCCGCACGCGTCCACACTAGGAACACTTGGAACGTGTCAACACTTTATTAATTTATACGGAAATTTTGTCAAAAATTAAGTGCCTATTTTTTTTACATAATTCGTATGAGAATCATGTACCGAGTATGCTCCTTAAATATTGATAGTAATTCACCAGTCACCCTGTATACATAGATAATTAATTAATAACATTATATGAAGTTCATTATTTTATATATTACAGGACCCCCCTCCCACTTACATGGCGCCCGTCGACAACAGACGGAAAACACACACAGAGACCTCTGACGAGGGAGACAAGAAACACAAGAAACACACGCACAAGAAGAAGAAGAAGGTAAGCTGATACTAGAAGACTAGGAAAAATACTTTCTCATACACAATTCACATGAAATAGTATACCAGAAAATACTCGACGTACTCATTAGAGCGAAAGTAATATTTAAAAAAACATTATAATAACAAGTGAGTTAAAATTCAAATGTAACGACTTCATACTACACTTAACACTATTGTAAACTGACTGATGACTGAAATCCTTTGCTTATGATCAGTAAGCGGACACTGTTTCCGATCTTAACTAAATATATTTCTCTTGCACTCAAACAGCCTTTTCTGAGGAATTTTGTCCGTAATCTCTAATTACTAGGTTTGAATTCACTGTTCCGTGTCAGGAGGTCGTATCCTTACTATGAGTCTGAATCGTCAACGTAAAACCGACTCACTGATAGTATCGTAGTTGGTACATGAAATAAAATGTTTACACTCTCTATATTGGGGTTGACTGTACAACTCAAGATAAGGTACAGTTTCCAGAATGGCCCCTGACGCTAATGAAGAACTACTTCACGATACTCTTACGACGTGTGCTCGCGCCTCACGAGGTCACTGACCTCCCGAATGTTGGTCTACGCTAGATGTAGAAGATTCCTCAATGACGAAAGAACTGAAGTCACACCAGAAAGTTTAACACAAGTCTAATGAAAAAACTGCGTATGCATTAGTTTAGAAGAAAACAATCATCATAGAAGGACACAGCCCATTTTTGATAAACTTATGAACCAGTTACATAAGATCGACGCGATTGAATCATTCATTCCCCACATGACACATAGCTTTGAATTAGTTAATAGGTATCTCATAATAGTTTGGCTTAATCAATCGTCATACAAGACTTAGTTAAAGTGTCTGCACATGTTTTTGTTTGACCAGTTTACATACCCGGAGACAAAACCCTCCAGTGGCAATAAAAACAAAATATACCCCGCCTAGGGTGTGTCCAGAGCGCAAATCTATACGTGATCTTAATGTACTTTAATCGAAGAGTTACTTATTTATATGTGAACAACTCGAAACTATGGAAATAAGATGTAAATATATATTACAACCAAACACCACTCAACAAAATTGTCAGGAAAAATTATAGAATATAATAATTTCTGTTAACCACAAAGATCGCTTTAACCACACCGACCACCTACACCATACTGATGACACAGAACTCGCTGACCACATTTAACCACACTTATAACAAAATTGAATATATCATTAATTCAACTTCATTACGAAACTCAAGAATAAACAACATCAAATTTTTATACAAATCTCTCATAAATTTAACAAACACTGCTGATTAATGTTGTGATTGTAAACGAAAATTATAGAAAAGTAACATCTAAGATATATTGTGATGTACATTATTTATAGATATATACTAGCTTTATACACAGGACAACCCATATGTGAATTTGTAGTATCGTCTGAATGCTTTTTAGTGAATATTTTCAACAATTTAGCTAACTTTTACTTGAAAAATCTCAAAAAAGATTTACTAATTAAAATGTTTCTATTCCAGAGTAAAAGTCATAAAAAACATCACGGTAAAGAAGAGAAGAGGAAACACTTCAACAGACTGGCTTCAACGGAGGTTGATAAGAACATAGTGTCCTTGGAAGATAGTGCTGTTAATAAATAATATTGTTATATGTTAATAAATACATGTACATGATAAAACAATTAGTATTCTTGAATTTTTCACAATAATATAAGTAGTTTTATTTAATAACATTATTTTCAATAATACACAAACATCTCTGGACCCTGTCGGTAACCAGAGATTTGTATTTAGTTCATATCACAGACTCAAGTCTTTCTGAAACAACTCCTTTGAAGATTTAATAAAACATGCCTTAAACATTTTAACAGTTTTTTTAACACCTAATAATATTGGAATCTGTTTTATATCAAGATATTATATTTATAAATTTTCTTTTACACCGTTTTAATATTCAAAATGTTTCCAATACAAAGTTGCAATAACAATTTAGTTGAAATGTATAAATAATTAAATAATTAATGTTTAAATTAATTATATTATCAATTGTTTCGCAAATTAAATAACAACTTGACGGTTTCATATAACTTTATTTAGTATATAATACTATATGTTACTACATATATTTACAAATGCAAAGTAATAACAATTATAATATACATCTTTGAACACATAAACAACTAATATATGAGGAAGTCAAACAGAAAATGTCTACACACACTGTAGAGACAAAATCATTGCAATTATAACATAATAAGTGTGATTCTCAATATATTTTTTTGTTTTACACATTTTATATGTAATGTGTCTTGTTCTTTCAATCTGTGTTACATTGTGTCTACTGTGAATGTTCAATCACTAACTTCTCTGCCTTGTACATATCACCAATTATCACCTGGAACCAACAAAATATAATTATAACTTTGGAAAACAAAACAACTTCTATTTAAGACAAATCCATACTAATATTATAAAGCTGAAGAGTTTGTTTGTTTGTTTGTTTGAATGCGCTAATCTTTGAAACTACTGGTTCGAATTGAATAATTCTTTTTGTGTTGGATAGTGCAGTTATCGGGGAAGGCTGTGGGCTATATAACATCACGCTACGACCAATAGGAGCAAGGATATAGTGGTAAATGTGTAAAAACCGGGAGAAATTATTTCATCTTTGAAGCCTTCCGTTGTGTGCGCCGTGAAAACGGTTCAAGATACACAAAAAATATGTATTAAAGAATAATAGCTCTTTTAATGATCTAAAAAACAGTCCGCAACAGTCAATCTTTTAAGATTAACTCACAAAAACCGTTTTTATGGTACCTAATTTGGTCGAAATAATTTGTTTAAGTTGTATCAACATAATAATATTAATATTAATAATAACTTGTCAGGTAAGGTTTTTCAGGCAGACCCTGGCTAAAGCTGAGAAGTTGAAAGGAAGAAGAAGATTAATAATAAATTGTCGTTTTAATAAATTACACAAATTTGTACTTAGCGAAAAATATAAAAAAATATTTTTCCTTTATGAAATCGAATCATATATTAATGTTTGCCGCACAAGCTGCTACTTGTATGTATCGTGACATAAACATTAAACATAATAAAAATCTTTTACCTGACGTTTTATTATTTCCAAATTCTCTTTTCCATGAAGAAATTCTTTTTTAATCATTTTGCTGTCCATCAATGATTTATTTTCTTTAAAAGCGTCTCGTACTCTCCTTAAAGCGTAAGCCCTTGAAATAACATAAAATATAATGGTTTAATACATTTATTTAGTTTTCATGAATAAATTAAAAGAAACAAATACGTTTTAGGTTATCAACTTATATAAAAGTATTTTGAATATATTGAAATAACACACCTAAAATTATAGTTTGAAAACTTCTGAGATTCTTTCATCAGCGACTTATAGAGCGCCAGCACTTGATTTTTCGTTATTCCCGAAGCCATTTTGTGTTTTTACTAAAATTTTGCTTATTACTTTGTTAAAAATGTAAATAAAACAGCGTTCCGTTACCCGAAGAAATGTTTTTAAAACTCACAATGACGGATAGATTTAGAAAAAAGTCTTGAATAAGATAATAACTCTTTCGTAATTATAATATGGAATCATTCCGTTAGCGATAAAAATGACTTGTGATTATGTAAAACAATTTTCGGTAATTATTTTGCAATTACGGAATATCATTTGAAAACGAAACGTAATGTGTAATGTTGCTATTACTTAAAAATGCAAGAAAAGGTCAGGGAAGAAATAATTGATATATATGCATTAAAAACAAATTTATAACGTAATTTATACGAACTTTATTAAATTTCAATATAGAAGTAATAATTATGTGTATATATTAATGAACAGATGGACAAGATCTATTTTTTCCAAGCTATGATAACACTAAAAAGCACTTGCGAACACTCCGCAGTAAGGATGGGGCTGTACTCGTATGCTGTAACTGTTGAATAATCGAAAATTTAAAACTCTAAACATATATCGATTTAAATAAACGATTCTATTAATAATTCCTAATAATATTATGATTTTTTGTATATTAAATAGTTATTTTTCGTTTCAGTAACAGGTAACGTGTATTATTTTCATTCTAGTATATTTATTTCTTTAAACATGTGTATGTATTCACTGTCATACTGTATTACAAAAATTAATATATTTATACTTTTTTGTAATTCAATGTTATAATAAGATAAAAATAATAATGATTTTTGTTAAATTAATATATTAAGATGCTATTTAATAATATTTTCTTTAAGGTTTCGTAAACATCGATACATTATATCACATCTGTCACGTCTCTTTGAGGCCCATCTCTTCGTCGTATTTCGCAGTAAAAGCCAGCCATTGACCGTGTGATGGTGCGCCTCAGTTTCTCCCGTTATTTGTTATTATAATTAAATGTTTTAAATCCAGAACGTACATAGAAGTGATGTATTAGGGGACGGCGTCTCCGCCGCTGTTTATAAACCACGAGTCAAATAATAAGTAAGTGAACATTCTAACATATTGTTTATTTATATTTCTGTATTGACATGTCTTTTTTTCGTATGAAGTAGGTTCCGTATATTCCTGTTTATATAAAACAAGGAGTAAGTGATGTAAACTTACCTTTTTCCATCGTTCTATCGTACATTAGTGTGTTATTCTGTAATGTACGTATAACCTTGACTTTTAAGTTGGGTGATGCTGGAGTATTTTTAAATGTGACAAACTCGTTGTTCAGAGAGGAGTGCTCTTATTCATAATAATATCTCACACTTTACTAATATTTGTTACATGCTCACTGATGTACAGTTATTAATTTAATTATTTTTGTTGTATACTGAGTAATAATTTATGTATATTTATGTTATCCTATTTAAATGATAATATTTTATTATATAAAGGGTCAAAGGTCATTTTTAAGATGTTTTCTAATATCATGAATGTGAAAGTTTGTGTTTGTTATTCAATATTAAAATATATTTTGACTGACTCACTCACTTTAAGATCATAGTCTGATCAGAAATTTGTAAATCAAGTGATGTTTATTGACCTCTGTTCTTACAGCATCATACTTCTTTTAGTTAATCAAAAATAGCTTCCGATTTAAGATAAAAATAATCTATTTATTACTTCTCTAAACATATAAGTAATAAGTTTCTTTAACTATAATGTAATAGTTTTTATTACAATTTATAGAATTCAACATTAAAATTGTTCATTGTTTTAGGAATGTAGATTAAATTGTAATATTCAAAATATGAGTAAAAAATGGGTTCAAAGTAGCATTTATGTTGCAAATTATCACAAAACACATAATTGGTGTAATTCCAGTGATATTGCAAATATCTTTTGATTAACATAAAAATATACATACAGTTACCAACCAATTATAATTAATATTTTTAATAAATACAAAATGTATATAAGAAGTGTTTATTTGAATTTTTATATTAATTTCTTATTGTAAAACTATATTTGAGTCAAATTAAAACTAGTTTCTCCGATACAGAGACCTCTTGAATAGGATTAATATTAAGTAAATAAATAAATTAAATGACTGACTGGTGTCATATAAATAAATAAAGATAGATTATTATCACAATGTATATTTATTATTTAGTAAATATTAAATTGCATATTCACGGTCTCTTCAAGTCATGTGACTAAAATGATTCATTTACTGAAATATTATGAAGCATAAGAGATATGAGAACTGAAAGACTAACACAGCTCTGTGATTAACAAGTTCAATATAATATATTAAACTAAAATTTCAACATAATATATAATTTAAAGTGATGGAATGCATATATTTTCTATAATATTATTTTCAACTGACGCGTGTATCCGTATACTGCGGCGCGGCGTAGTGTCCGATGAATTCATAATTTTATTTGTGTTAAGAATATTAATCGTATGTTATAATTATTCACAACTAGAGCCACTTTAATCACTGCACATTTAATTAATTATGTTGTCGACTGTGGAGCGAGTTACAAACAATTCCATTTAACAGTTTCCCGCGCTGACAGATGACGTCATCGGGTAGCGGTTACTTTTTTTTCCTAAGACGACGCTCGTCAGAGTTATTATTATAATTTATTAAAGTTTTATTTTTATTTTAATATTTATGTCCATAGTGCTTTCCTTTTTATTGGCTGCAGTTATTTTTGCTACTGATGTCCCTGTTCTTGCCAACGTTTTATTGTCTACACAATATATTCTATTAAATGCAAATATATGTACAATGGATTGATTGTTACTTATTGTACTTATACTGTCTTTAATGACGGAATATCCAATAAAACATATAATTATGTCTATTTTTTAAATATATTTTAGTCGTAATATAGTTTTAAGGACGGAGATGCTTTTTTTTTAACGAATTCCGGCAAAGTAATAGTAGAAGTTACATATTGTTCAGAATTATTTTTACCATTAAGAAACAAAACAATATAAATTAATAAATTGTACCTTCTTCGTTTTGTTAATAATGGCGTACTTAAATACAATTATAAAATAATAACAGATTATGTAAAAACAGCTATTGTTTACGTAATCATTATTAGCAAGTCATAGAGCGAGGCGGCTTACTTCATTTAAAACTAGATATGATCGCATTACAACATCTCTTAAAAGGCTT